CTCAAATACTTCAAATCCCTTTCCGTAACGGATCAGCCGCGTGAACGCCCTGCTGTCCCTCTTACTCCTGCCGAACGTGAGAAACACGTCATCTTGTGTCTGGCTGTTCCCCCTGCGGACAAGGCTACCGATACCATGCCTCTAGTCTCGGCTATGTTTACATTTATTGACGGTTTAACGAAGATGAATTTGCGGCCAGAAACCCGTTCTAAGATGAAGAAGGTCAGGGAGGATGTGGACAAGGAAATCCAGGAAGAGGCTATCAAAGAAAAGAAGGAGGAGGCCGCCGAGGATAAGAAGGCCGCGAGGCGGAAAGCAGAGGTAGAACGCATCTCACGCCTGAGTGCTGCAGAACAGAAAAAGGTTAGTCTTCGCAAATCGGGTTTTACTTCCTTGCTCACCACTTTCGCATCAGATCATTGAGCGTGATCGGAAACGTGCCTTGAAACGTTCACAAGGGAAGGTGGTGAGGAAATCATAAATATGCTATTAAGATCATATGTCGTCAGGACTAGTGTACATAAAAATATTATTCCATATATCCTTGATAGTCCATGCTGCAAATAACAAAGTAAAATATTACGAAGGTAATGACGGTGAAATGAAAGCACCGCTGGTCTGAGAATCTGTAGCAGGGGCACTGCTGTCGCGGGACTGCGCGTGAGACTGAGATGGTGACGCCCGCACCCCACTCTGACCCGCCAAGAATCCCAACCTCGTAGTCCATCTAGTAAGGAACTTGAGCAGCCACATTGGTTGCATCAAAGCGTCCTTGTATTCATCATCCTCTTCCGCTTCGCTCATTTCATCATCCGTTTCATCACCAAGCACCCGCAAATCTCCCAACCCGGCACCTGCACGACGTTCTTCCTCCGCCTCGCTCTCCGTTCGACCCCATGCATCCACCTCTCGCTCCTGGCCGCCAAGCGTCCACTGCTTCCGCCGTCGCTTTCTCGAGCTGACGGTGTCCGACCCGAAAACTTTACTCCTAAGCTCGAGCACTTTTGCTCGAGGCGCGATTGCTGCGTCCCAGAGGTCTTGCCGTCTGAACTGCCCCGCCTCGTAGTCGAGAGCTGCGATTTGTTGACGACTTTCGTGTGCCGAGACCCTTGCGTCTTCCACGCTTTGCAGGGCTTCGAGTTGGTTCGACAGATTAGATAGAAATTCACGATGATCTCCATCATCTTTTAGAAGAGCCGCGTTGGTCGCTGCCAGGTTTGAAGTTACATGCTAGACCGGTTCACGTCATGATAAGCGGGCATCTAAGGAACTCATGAACACAAACGCTTACCTCAAGGCAAGCAAGCATGCATTTCAAATGCTCTTCTCGCCGATGCATGACCAATAGGTGACCACAAATGTCTACATCGATTTGCATCCATTTGAAAGGAAGGATTCGAAGGTCTCGAAAAGTATCCAGGTCATGAAAACTACGCCGTCTGTCACGAGTATCAGCACATAATATTTTAAGCACATATTTAAGGGGTTTCATCAGCCTACCTCTGGATATCAGGCCCCAACACTTTCCTCTTACTCTCCGCCTCGCTCTGTCTTTCAGTAAATTTATCCACAGTTTTTCTCATTTCTTCTGCATTTCCTACACCCGACCAGCTAGACACGCGACTCTCGTCTCTAGGCGGTCTGGGATGTCGAGCAAGGAAGGACTTAACACGGCGATTGTACTCTGGATCATCTTTGTTAAGGTTGGACTTGGATTTTTGCGCGGTGATAGATGCATCAGAAGGGTCAAGTACGAACGGGTTGTGTGTCCTTGAAATTGCTAGGATTGAGGCATCAGATCACAGTCTAGCCAAATAAGTCATTTATGTGCATACAGATTGGTGACACCTGGCCGCTGCTCGGGAGATCCTCGTCATCCCCGCTATTCCTACCTCTTATAATTGAGTGTGAATCTTTCCATACAAGGGATGGAACTCACGGGGATAACACCACGGATGGTATGGTCAAAACGCTTGTATCGGCATACACATGGCCTGATAAAGACGATTGTGCAGACAACGGCACTGCTATCAACGATGAGCGCCCTGTAGATCTCAATGGAGATGATAGATCTATTGATCTCTTGGACCGATTGATGCTATAGTGAAGGTGTCAACCCGGAGCGGAAGAATTCAAGAAGCTACTAACCCAGCCCAGAACTCCAATTTCTTCTGGACCTTTCCAGACCAAGCACCTCCGAAGGTAAGATCATTATCATCTTCGCCTGCACTCTTCACTATCCCCAAATCGTCCACATCACTTGACGTAAGTCGTTCCTTATCTTTTTCTCGTACCTTCTCCCGGGTTCTGTGAAGTGTTTGCGTGGGTCCCATTGCTGCACGCGCCCGCAGACGAACCGCTGTCTCCACTCTACCGGTCCAAAGGGCACGCACGCTACCGGCTACCCGTTCCTTCTCATCCACTTCGTCGGGTTTCTCGTCCTTCCTAGCACGCTCTCTTTCCAATTTGTTTTTCTCGGCCCTGGATCCAACTTTCTCATGCTGTTTATCACGCCCTATGACAGCTCTAACGAACGTGCCCAGGTCCGCCACGGGTGCCAGTATACCCTCCGCACCAGCCACGCCACCGCGCCCCACAAAGCCCCTGACACGTCCACTTAACCCACGCCGCTCATCATCAGATGAATTCGGCTCAGAAGTAGGGTCAAGAGTTGATAAAATGATGCGTTGCACACGCCGTGAGTCAGAATGCTTTAGTCTTGCCTCATGCGTGGAGGTAAGCGCATTGTAAAGGTGAACGTTTAAGTAAGTTGGGAGCGCTGGTTGGGGAACCGAGTAACTTGCACCAACGGAAGGCGATGGCGAGCACACGGAGACTGCCGGCGACACCGACAGTCCAGGCGATGAGGTGCCTGATACTGTGATCAGCAGAGGTGTCTCCATGTGCGAAAGCGTTGGCGACGAATGCGTCCCATTATTGGGATGTGAGCTGATGCTCAATAGCTGAGCTTGTGCACATGCACTAATGCAAGCAATGAACACGTGTGGATGTAGAAATGGATCCTTCGGCACTGCTTGTGCAAGTGATGCAAGTTTATTTCGCGCTGAGAGCACAAATGAAAGCAGTGCTGCAACTGCAGAGGGGTCAGCAATACGTTCAGTTGCCTGAGAATGCTTAATTTGGCCAAGGTCTCAATAACGAAGAGCAATTTCACGGACCTCAATACCTGGAAGGCTCTCTCCTACCTCCATCATCCATTTTTGGAACCCGTCTATGGTCACATCACAAAGTAGGCCATCCAACATAGGTAGGCAAGTCAGTGGGAACATTCCACACACAGACAATGCAGCTTGTATCAGTTTCACCAGCTCTATAACAGTGGCCGCAAAATGCGGGTGACGCTGCGATTGCTGTGCATTAACATTAGACGTGCTGTGCTGCGGAGAGGCGCCAGTGTACAATGTCTGGACATGAGAAGAAGAGCTGTTCAATGTGTCGGGAAGGATAAGTGGACTTGGAGAATGCGAGAAAGTGCGGGTCTGAACACGCGAGTTCGGAGATTTAGAACGAAAAGGATGTGTTGCGGACGGATTGTCAGGAATGAGGTACAATGATTTAAACCGGTCCTTTGTCGTCTCACTACGAAATGATGAGCGCACACATAAACCGAGTGCCCAAACCTTACCTAGGTTCTTCGAGCGTAACAGCACTTCGGCCACTGCATCCCATTCGCAGCAGATTGATGTTGCAGTACAAACGCTCCTGCACTGCTAGAAAGTCGCCATCGGGAATGTGCACAATTGTATAATCAGACCGAAAGTTAGCCAAAGAGGTGACCATCAGAGTACCCAGGGGGGTCTAAAGCATATACATTAGCGCTAAGCGAGTATACCGCCTGAGTGCGTGCCAAGGTACCTGTTTTGGTCGGGCCCCATCTTTGCGGAGGTGTTGTACAGAGAGCTTTATTTCCAACTCTTCCTCCTCGCGTGTCAAACGGCCAGCAGGCTTAAGTACGGTGACAGTAATCTGGAACCATAGCAAGGGGGATGAACATATGCTTCCTAAAGTCCAGGCGCACATCACAAGGCCGTACCTTATGGGAAGGGTCTCCGGTATATACGATGAGCACCGTAACAGGACGTACACGCTCCACTATCCTAAGCATCAGTCAACACACCGAATTCCATACAAAGACAAGCCACAAACCACTTCTCGACCGCATACATCTGGTAACCCTGGAGCTCGACACGATTCTCAGCAATTTCAAGACAAGATTTCTTCCCAATCCAGCGTTCCCCGACAGAATCCCTGCTCACCCCTGTTCCCGCATTGAATGCCGCACTTGTCATGATGGCAGTTGCCGAGCCGGAGCGCGAACGCATTAATTTTGACGATGTGTGCCTTCGCGTTGGTGGGCTTGGAGGAGATTGTGGTATGCGCGGAGGTGCGGGCGGGCGCACGGTTGGCATGAGCAGCCGTGGTGGGCCTAGGGTTGAGCTCGCCATGGCTCACGCTGAGTACTGACGTCCGAGGGCGTATACGGAAGAGTGTCACGCTTTAGCTCATAAAGGCGTGACCCCGGTGTGACAGAATAACCTACCGAGCTTCGCGACTAGTGACTCCTTACACGCGCGCAGTGATTATTTTATTCGCGGAGGTAAGCGAGAGGAACTACAACCTTCTCAAAAATAAGGCGGTTAGGTGAAGGCTATCGAGGCACCGTCGAGCTTCAAGTATATATAGTCCTTCAAGTATTACAACAGGAAAAAATGAAGCTAGTCCAGTATTCGATGCAGAGTGAGGAGTCAAAGAGAAAATGGGGATAAATGGTGGATGGGTAAAATACACTATAGCGGTGCGGATGATATGGTACGTGGGTAGAGTACGTGATACATATTAAACAAACTCCATTGTTGTCTCTTTCATCTTGTTCATGGTGATCAGGCAAATTCCATGGTGTAGTGAGGGAATATAATGTGAATGAACAAGGCTATATGACAATGCATCCACTCGAAAACCACCTAACCATCGAGTCATAGTCAAGAGCGGAATAGGGGTAAGATAATTTGCAGCACCCACCAATTACTATTCAACTGTTCGATCCAGCCCACGACCATCCGCAGACGGAGTCGCGCGCTTTTAATGGGTAGCAATTTGGCCTTTTCATGCTCATCTATCGGGAGGACCATGCCCATCCAGAAGGAGAACGCATCGGGGTTCTCGTCAGACGGCTGCGGACCGTATGTGTGGTTTAGACGTTGAACCACCCACGGTGCAGTGCCTGCGCGAAGCTGCTCCAGAAACGTGTGGCACATTTGAAGGAGCGCGGCAGTGCTCAGAGGAGGATTGGTGGGAGAAGGACTGGTGGGAGAAGGCGGTGACAGGTTCGACATGATGCGCGAAAAAAGGTGTGGAGATGATGTTTCATCCGAGGCGCTAGAAGCAGACGATGATGATGCGGATGACGAAGAATCAACGTTCTCCTCGATTTCAGACTCCCAGTCATCAAAAAGGTCTTCATAATCGTCGATCCGTTCCACTCTTCCGATCATATATCCATCTAGAGATCCGCGTTCGAGTATCCTAAACCGATGCGTGCCCCGGGTTTCCACTATGCTCCGCCCGTCTGGCAGCATCTGTACACTGCGGATCTCGAGCATGGTACCAAAATCTGCACCCGCATCAACGCCGAGGCCGGCAACAGGTGCTGCACGTGGGGGCATTATCATGCCTAAAGTTGGTGTCGGAGCCTCGAGACAACGCCTGAGCATAAGCCGATAGCGTGGTTCGAAGAAATGCAGGAGTGTTGGCATTCCCGGAAACGATAATTGGCAGACGAAAATAGGCGTGTCTAAACGCGCGTCGCGCTCTTCTGTCGCGATTGTTTGGCCCCTTGCGTCATAAGACTCAGGGTAAGCTTTGAGCACTGCACGTTGACAAGAAATTAGATGGATGCAAGAGCCATACGTAATTCACTGACGAAGAGCAAGGACGACTTTGTTATGCGAGTGTTCATGAAAATAAGCGAACCCAGGTAATTCCACGCGACATAGCGGACATAACATGCTATGATCTAGCGATCGCTGTAAGCATTTAGAGCAAAAAGTCTGGCAGTGCCATCATCAGGGTTCTTTCACGCAAGAACAGAGGTTGTATATACATACATGTTGACAAGGCGTTGTGACAGGTTGGTAAAGCAGCATAAAACAGATCTCGCACATCAATTCCGTAGCGAGGTTCTTGTCAAATTCGGCTAACGATATAGTTCCAGGGTCAGAAGAAGGATGAAAATCCGGCGAACGTGAAGTGGACGTATGACGTCGAAGCCGCTTCCGCGGGCGAGAAGACGTCGACGCAGGGGAGGATGAACCAACGGAACTCGGCGGGCCAGAGACAGGTGTCACTGGACTACTAGCTGATGACGAGGACAATGGGAAAGCAACCGATTCTTGCTGTTCGTCATCGGAGTCAGAATAGGTCTCCACAAGGTGGTCGGGCTGCTCGCTCTCATCCTCTGCAGCTTTCGTTGCTAATTCCACCAACTTTCTCACTTTAACGTCAATCCTGCGTTCGACTGGTTCAGGAGAACTCGTGTGGTTCTCGGTAGTCGCTGGGAAGAACGCGACTCGAGAACCAGGTGGAACAGTAGGCGTGAAACTTGCTGGAGTAGACAAACAAGTCGGGATTGGGCATAAGTCTGAGTCAACATGTGATGAACAGACAGTATGACCGCATCGTAGAGATGTTGGGTCTGTTAGAAGACGAGACGGCGAGCAAAGAGGACAGTGCAGAAGAGGTAGAATAAGACTTGGAGAAGGATGGTCCATGCTGCACTTGGGAAGAGCAATGAAGAAGGGCTATCCGACAATTATATGACGAGATGAGAAGGATATGACCTGACTTACAACGAGTCATCAGCGATGTTATAAGGATGGATGAAAGACGAGCTTGAGGATTCGGAAAGATTTGCTCAGCTGTGGCTGGCTGCTCCAAGGTAAAAGGCAGTTTCTTACCTCGTAGGTTGAAGAGAATAGGACGATCTAAACTCGATTGATGGGTTCAATCAAGAGATTCACGATGCTCTCCCAAGTAGACTTTGCACGCCCTATTTAAACTTTTAATCAACTCATGCTGCAACAGATCGCCGATTTTGGCCCTTCCAATGACGACCTTTACGCACACCTCCTGTCTCGACCGGAACCGCCCACAAATACTGCACATACAATTGATCATGGCTACCGATTTCCAGAATCATGAGAGACACATGTAAGTCAATTTACGAAAGTACATCACTTTTCCTACACCACACCCCAACCTCGTGCAACAAGAAGATAAAACCGATTCTAATACTACTATACATCCACATTCACAAATTTGACACATTCGTCGTGGGCCAGCTGCTGTAGTGTGATCCCAGTTAGCATCATATACCTTCCGAATCGAGCAACGTGTATGCTTACTACTCCTCTGTTGCTGCGCGCTTGTAGCCCAGCTTCTCAATGAAGCTATCAAGCTCCTTAGGTCCCCGAGAGCCATACGGATAGGGTGAGGGCTTAGGGCGTGGTCCTTCTGTCCCATCTATCCAATGAAGAATGGGGGTAAAAATCTAGTACATTGGCGATCAATCGCACTTCCCGGTTATGGCTTGCAGCAGCATGCTTACCTTCCATGCAACATCCAGTTCGTCATCTCGGACAAAATTCGAGTGGTCACCCTTGATCGCATCCAGGATGAGTGCCTCATATGCCTCCGGAATTTTTGTATCCGTGAATCGCCTCTTGTATGTAAGGTCCATCTCAGTCGGAAGTGCGCGGAACGCATATCCAGGCGTCTTAGTGTTCAGTTTCAGGTAAACGGCCTCCGATGGCTGAATGCGGATAACGAGTTCGTTGCGTGAAATATCCTTGAAAATTCCTTGCGTAACATCCTTGAATTGCATGCGAATTTCAACCTTTGCCTCATTCAAGGCTGAAGTCGATGATTTGTCAGGGGCTATTGTGTGAGTGTAATCCGAGATGGAACGTACCCTTTCCCGCCTTCAAGATAAACGGAACGCCTTCCCACCGCTCGTTGTTAATCCAGAGCGTGGTAGCAGCAAACGTTGGGCAGACAGAGTCTTTCGGCACAGTGTCGTCATCCAGATAACCCGGTTTCCCATTGGCTCCTACATACTGGCCTAGAAGCACGTCCTCCCGCTTGATAGGTGGGATGGACCGAAGCACTTTGACCTGGGAAGGATAAGCCGGCGTGAGAACATAATAAATACTTCTAGTGCACATGAATAACCTTCTCGTCCCGAATGTCCTCTGACGCGAACGAGACAGGTCGTTCCATGGTCAAGATACTCAGGACTTGCAACAAATCTGAGTGTGCACATGCATTAGCGTGGCAGCCCCTTCCCACACAAGCTCATAGGAGACTCACGGTTTTGCAAGATGTCACGGATGATGCCAAATTCGTCGAAATAACCACCACGACCTTCTGTGCCAAAGGGCTCCTTGAAACTGATCTGGACGTTGCTGATAGAATGCTTGTCCCACGCAGCGCCCATAGCGACATTGGCAAAACGGAGGACCAACAAATTCTTGACCATCTCTTTGCCTAGATAGTGGTCAATACGGTAGGTCTCTTCCTCTTTCCATGACAGCTTGAGTGACGACAGGAGCTCCCGGCAGGAGTCAAGATCCTTGCCAAAAGGTTTTTCAACTATGATGCGATTAGTCCCGTTCGTCGCGTAGCAGCACTCTTTGACATGTTTTGCAACAGGAACGAACACGGATGGCGGGAGGGCAAGGTAAAAGAGGCGGTTGATACCGCGAGTTTGATACTTCTTCTCAATGGCCTCCATGTGCCTTGCCAGATTTTGGAAAGAAGGACTATCATCATAGTTGCCAGAGACATAGGAGGATAATTTCTTGAATTCTTCGATTTTGGCAGCGACTTCAGGATCGTTGTTAGGGTTCTTGATGTAACTAGTGGTGCGTTTGTGATACTCTTCTTGATCCATCTTTGTTCGTGCATAGCCAACGATATGGACATCTTTGGGAAGATAACCGTTGCGGTAGAGACCAAACAAAGCTGGGTACGTCTATCGGGGTATTCAGGATCTCCTATGAGGACGACAAAGAGCGTTATCGCTCACCTTTTTCTTCGCAAGGTCACCGGAGGCACCAAATACTAGATGTGAAGAGATTTGAGTTGGACGGGGGCAGTGGCGGGGACAGGGGGACTCACCGACGATGAGAGTGTTATCTCTGAATTCGTGACCGCTGGTCTCCATTGATGGAATCGTACCCGACCTTGTGCGTGTCATTGAGGTCATGATGTTGTCCAAGGAAAATATGCGTTGAAGAAAGATAAATGCAGGGGCTTTAAGTTGTTGTTCTTAAACTTATTGACGTGAGTGTGAGAAGACTGTCAATGTAGTAGTGATGGAGTGAACAGATGTAAATTTACATTACCGTGAGGCGCCGTGCGTTCGTCAGCGTGAGGCTGGGCAGGATGATGGTAATCTCTGTAATCGTCTAGTAGCTGATTCAACGCGCGGCTTACTACTACACTTCTCATCATCACGGACTCATTTCGGTAACGAATCGAGCACGTGCTCTTTATAGCTTTTGCCATGGCAGACTCGGAGGACCAAGCCATAAAGCACTTTCAAGAGCTAGTCTCCTCTGACCTGACTGCCGTAGATCCAACGTCCATTCAGATCCGTGCTAGTGCTCTAGTAGCTCGTCTCAAAGCCCTCAATAGAAACGCAAATGCTGCAACAAGAGCAAGCAAGCAAGCTACCACAGAGGCCCGTCATGACATGGATCAGACACATCTCGGCCTCCAGAATTTGCTCTATGAAAAGCGTCATCTCGAGAGGGAAATAGACAAGTGCCGGCAATTCGCGTTTGTTGTTTTTTATCTGTCCTTGCAATCTCTGCTGATCGTTCGCGCAGTTCCATATATCAGGACGTACCCTTGTACTCCCTGTCAGAGTTCAGAGCTCTGGCACCCCCCGAAGCGCGCTCAGACGACGTGCTGCAGAATGTTCATCAGCTGATGCTCAATCGTCTAAGCTTTGAACTTGTCGAAAGGCAGAGGCACGTTCCATAGACATTCTAACATATATTTTTGTATCTCATCATCATCAACAGACTCGATCAAAAAAGAAAAGAACTCACAGCCCAAAAGGAAGAGCTTTTAAAGCATAGCAAGCTTAAGCTCGCAACCGTGGAAAGTGTCAAAACGCAAATAGAATCACTCATGAAGGTGCGAACAATCTTCTGTCCTTTTCACTTTGCTTCAACGAACATTTCGCAGGCCGCCGCAGACATACAGAAGAGAGTCGATGAACTCGTACCGGCACTCCCACCGTCCACTGCAACGACTCCCGCTCCTTCTTGAACTTTTTGCATGCCGAATGCACTCCCGAGTTACCGAATACCTCTCATCAGTCCCGCGGTTGTCTAAGCAAAATACATTGATGACACACAGTGAAGTTGGCAGTACACGATCCCTAATTATACAACACGGCGAAAGGGATAAGATGTTTCCAACTATTGTCCAGAGGTGATAGGGATAGAGGTCATCAAATATACGAGCGAAGAGGGTATCTCCGCAAAAAGACCAATTGAATGATGATAGCAGATAAAGACACAGAATTGAGAAAGGTTAGGGTGAAGTACAGAATGGATATGATATGTAAAATGATATGAGTGATGTGCGAAAGCCAGTGAATAAAATGCGGGAGAAAGGCATGCCGAAGGAAGAGGTATCAGGATTCTTGTTCTTCATCCTCACTGATGCTGCCGATGTCGCTCATCTCTTCATCTGCTTCGTCTTCATTGCCGTCTTCTGCGGCATCCATAATATCCTTCGTTGCAAAACGTTGTACGTACTCTGAGCAGGAATGAACGTTACATGCTGGGCGACGATAGAAGGAAACAATCTCACCCTTGACCTTGGCCTCGTATTCCTTCGGATGTCGCATCATGAGCGCTGCAGCTTCACCGTTTAGTGGATCATTAGGATTAGGGTACCGCAGCAATTGGGGCAAGAACACTTCAAAAATGTTGATCATATCTATGAAAGGGAACAGATCAGCGACACGACCGGAGGTGTATCAACTGCCCCGCATACCGAACATTGGTGACCACGTCTGATTAATAACGTCCAGGCATACGGAGCCACTCCTGTAATGGGAGCGTATAAATCGACATTTCGGGAATTATCGCGATAGCTACTGACAGCTCATCTATGTTGGGATGAAAGATCTTGTTCATAAAGCCTATGCTTGGCGACTTGTATGGATACTCTGCTTGCAACTCTACGTGAATCTTCCATATACCACCCGCGAAGGGTGCTGGTGCTGATTAATCCGACGTGCACGGAGGAGTGATTAGGAAACATACTTTCTCCCGGACCATAGAAGCGGACGTAGAACTCGCGCATGTTGTCATTGACGAGGGTCACCTCGTAATCTGACATGAGCCTAGATTGTAGATCGTTACATTAATGAAGATGCGTGAGGCAGGTGGCCTTTACAGTTTCATAACATCTGTCTCGATACGGCGCTTTGTTGAGGTGTGTCTGGAATGAAACCAAATAAGTTTGAACTGCAGCCTCGTAAAGAACGGACTTATCATGTTTGCTAGAATACAAGATGGATGGGTTTGTGGAAGACACGAAGACTGAATTCACTTAGACAATCGCTGCCAAATGTAATATAGTGTTACGCCGCCGTCGGAGATATCCATTTCAAGTACCGAGAAAGGCCGGGTCATTAAGCTCATCAATATTTTGGATACTCTCCCGGAGCATCTACAACAACGCCGTAGAAAACAAGATATACACTCGAAGACTAGCGTTACAACCTCGTTACACCCAAGACGCCCCATTTCATCCGAAATACATACAAACCAAGAGATAGCAAGATCGTATATTGTCATGTACTCAGTAAAAGGTCCACTCCTCGACAACACAATAAGCATCGTTCGGGTCGCACGGGTATGGTTTACGGAATCCAGCTTGAGGCTTGTATTGTTGTCGGACATAGCTTGCCGCGCCTTGGAGCCGTTCAGACGCCACTGCAGGCGGCCTACCCGCTGCAGCAGCAATACCTCGGCTGTCAGCACCGACAACATTGCTTTGGGCAGCACCAGTGCTCGACTGGAACATGTGGCGTGGGTGTGCCAGGTCGACGTCGACACTACCTTGGTTCCACGCCCGCATAGCCAAGAGCAGGGCTATGACGAAAGACCTGTGAATTATTGTCTCATTTATATGTTGAATGGGACAGGCTTACCCAGCCAGAACGCCCCAAACGCCGCAATCAAGATTAATTCCTCCTGCCCTTGCGACAAGACTCTGCCTTCCCTTTCGGTTCGGTGGTGTTTCACTACCCTGTCTTCAGGTCAGCTCTGCTGAAGATAAACCCACTATTGTCATACAATACGATAAGTGCCGCGATCGCCAATATCGTTACTGATGTTTGAGTCAGATGGATAACCTCTATAAACGCTCATTCGTTAAAATACACTAAGCGCCCAAAATACAACGATACTTGCGAATCGAGTGGGGCAAGAATCTCATGATCGTATGGCCTATCACGAGAGCAATAATGCCTGCGGATTGACGCTGAATATAGCATCCACATATCATGAAGACCTATGCACGCACCTTTGAGAACATGCCTGACCGGGTGGTCTGTAAACAGAGCCATTTCGTGACGATAGAAGTAAGAAAGAAGTGGAAAATGGGTGGGTGGGAATCAATGACCAGATACCCCTTGTATTTTCGACTAACAGCAAACCATGAGGCCGAATTATTCTAGATTACCCTTCTGATTCGGACACGAGGTCAAGTATATTTCATTCTCCACATTCTCATCAATTGTTCTACGTAATGGTTCCGGGACCAGCCGACTCTTTGGCAAGTGTGTACCAAGTACGCTACAATAAAAGTACAATCAGAAAATATCGTGGGCTCTATCGTTCCAACACGTGAAATCCGCAGGCATACATAGAAGTACGTATGATTTTCATTGTCAACAGACTCAGGCCGGCATGTGAGTGACAATAGGCTGGCCACCATTAACACCTGGCTGAACGACGACGGAGTGACCAGGCATTTGTTGTACATGGTATGCCCCCATCATTGGATATGGCTGGCCGTATCCTCCGTACGGGGCTCGCGGGTATATAGCCTCAGTAGGGTATCCTGGAAATTCACCAAACCAGCCTAGCTGCGAGACGTGTTCCCGCCATGCGTAGTACCGACCATAAACGACTGCACGCGATGTAAGCGTGATCAGGGTAATGAAGAAGAATACAACTGCAATGGAAGATTTCAGTATATGCATTACAACGAAGGAAGTAGAGCACACATAACACGAATAGAGTCCACGACAAGGCTTCGGTGACCTTCATTTGATAACAATATGACCGCGCAGACACTAGTGTTATGTGAGAGCTGAGCTTTGATACGGGCAGAAATATCGCATTGATCACTTACTACTTCCTTTGGTTGTAGGCTGCTGGTCTTGGAGAGGGTAGCATTGCTCATATCCGATCACATCTCTTGAGCGTGTAGTTCATAACCGCTCATGCATCAAAAAACTATGTACTTACGCGGACCATGCGCCCAGTGCTGTTGATTCGAACAGATAAAGTTGGTCAGATGTAGGGTAAAGGGTAGCACTGCCAGCTTACCTAGCCATAATACACCAACGATGAAGTGGAGCGTCACCTCCACTATCGGCTGGGAGAACTGCATTCTGGAAAGGCATAAGCCAAGTAAGGCGGATCGGTGGTGCCTTCTACTCACATCCACAGAAATGCGAAGATGGTGGCTGATGGTGGAATTAGGGCAAAGATAACGAAATCGCCTAAGAAGACGGTCACGGTGACGATTCAGTGTCCACGAAACCGATAGAGATGCGGCAACACATACGATTGATATGTGGGAGGAATAATCTCGCAAAGTTGGCCGTCAATCCAAGGACAGCTGCAGAGAGCAAAAACGCAGATACTGGATAACATCGATTGATCAATAAATTAGTAGGGTTGTGGATTGCAAACAAGCCTGAGTGACATACTATATCCAATGCGCCTCATGTTTACAAACATGACAGTCATGGCTGAAAAATGTCAGGTATGAGGTGGTATGGAGCGTGAATCCAAGGTACGTCGTGTCGAAAGAAGGGAACGTGACTGAAGAACGATGCCTATATGATATAGTAAACGTTGGTTGAATAAAATGATTCGAATGAACTACATGATTGAATGCTATATTTGGCTAGTCAACATATATGACCATCATGGGGTGCCTCATGGCATCGTTCAGGCGCTCAACTGCAACAACGCTTGTTCAACTTGTGCACTTTGAGGGGGATGCTCGGCCCGGGCGCATGTCAGGCGACAAGATTATGATATTTGAAAGCCTAGCAGATATGTAGTACAAACTGTATTTATTAGATTTCCCGAGCATGACATTCTATGCCAATAAAACCCAATTTGTGAAACATATACAGCGGTCATCGCCTGGGTGACGCATTTCTCTTATACTTGTCCGTTGTGTGCGCGCGTACTGGGGTTTGACCCGACCATCCGGGGTAGCGCGAGTCCTCGCGTCTGGTCTCAGACCCCCAGGGTGCTGAGGTTTTCTCATCATAGGCCCTGCCTCTTGATCGTGACCGACTGCTGACGGGTGCTGGTAACTTGGGCATAGACTTTCCGAACCACGGGTATTCGGTGACAGCAATGTACCACACATTGCGGTTGACGCGGAAATGATGCTTTACCGCAAGCGCCAGCAGGAAAAACAAGAACGCCAATACTGCGGGAGCTTGAGATATACTCCAGGATACGGATTCAATTCACTTACTGAGAATAAGATTGAAAAGTGAGAATGCCTCTAGGACCCGATACTGAGCCTGGTATGTCTCTGTGGAGACTTGGGACAAAGGTTAGACTTTTCTCTGAATAAACACACTCTTGTAACTTACATCCAGGAACATCGATGGGGTTAGTTTCTGCATCGGATGAATAGCATTCTACATTGGCGTTCTCCGAGTCAGAGCTTGCTAGGAAGGCACCCAAAGCTGGACCAATCAATCAGCATACAATTGCCATCAAGCCCGTGATTCGCGTACCAAGCCAGAAAGTCCCAAGCAGTCCGAGGCATCCGAGCTCTATTCTCGTGGAGATCGGGTTGCTGGTGCGAACCATGCTGCATCCAAGTCTGTAGTCCTAGTCAATGCCGACGCGTCGTGCGAATTTATATATCAACTCACAAAATGATGAGAATGAGCATGCTGGCACTACATACAAAAATGGTGAAAGGAACGAAACGAGCTACCCTTGCGTAAGTTACGGTTCATGAGGATATGCAGCAAACTCACTGAGATCTGTGATGACAAGTAGACTCTGGAAGTGAGCTGCAATAGCCAGGCAGATCACTGTCCAAATAAGGACTGCGCCTGCTGCCAAGTGAGCAAGGTCATGATAGACCCCATGAATGTGAGTGCTAACCGTAAATGCAAGCCCTAAAGATGTTAAATTTAGATGGCATGGCTTTCCCCGTGAATATTCGTGAGATAGAGATTGTAGGAAATCGCTTGCGACGGGACGTTTCAGGTTGGCGTTCCCGAGTAGAGTGATGCTGACGAGGCTGGCGATGCTGGCGGGTGGATTGATGTTGGCAATTCAAGGGAAGTGGACGTGCAGGCCTCATGATATAGTATTGAAGGTATGCGTACACGAGGTGAAGGGGCGTCTGATTCTCGTAAATCTAACTTGCGACGGCGTGGCGTGCACCGTGCAATTCAAGGCGTGGCAGACCTCGACGATCAGGAATCCGGGGGAATACGAGACGTGCGTCCGCTCAAACACAGCAGGCAGGCCAGCCATTCTTTTAACGACTGAAAAATTTCGGCTTCCAAGGATTGTGAACGACAGGTACGGATGTACAAATCCGTGTAAACGCCTCGAGGCAGATCACTTGACAAAGTTTGAAACGCCGGGGAAAGTCACAAGCGATTTTTCCTTTTAAATTACTACCCTACAAACAACGTACAACGATCAACATTTCATGGCCTCTTTTCGGAGCATCTCTCCGATGTCTGCAAACTGAACCAGACATTCAGGGTTTCGTAGTGTAGCAGAATTCACACTCGAAATTTGGGCTCCATTGATGATCTGGCCAGTTTTCATTGCCACGAATCCTGCATCAAAATCATAAGAGCCTACCTTCTTAACTGGGATCTCTACGCGCTTCCCGTTCAAGGTATATGGGATATCGTCGACCTGGATTATCTATCAAGCCCCCGCGGATAGTCAGCCAACGTTCCGGGGGACTGATAAAAATGGAACGCACACGAGCAGGAACATGGCGTGGGCTCCGTCGTGATCTTATTTCCGATCTAATCTTTTGCTCCATTTCTATCGATAGAGCCCGCTTGTCACAAAGCTTAACGAACAGGATCACGCGCTCATCTGTACCGCCATCAATGGACTGTGCCACAACCAATGCATCCTCAATTGTATCGTTCGCGTTCCGCTCTTCAGAAAACGAGAAGCACGTTTCAAGGACATTGTATATTTCAGACGATCCGAATCGGATCCCTCCAGGATTTCTACGAAATGATTAGAATTAGAGGAGTGTGAAAGTTATATACTCACAGAACACCATCGCTTCTTCCTAGCATGATGAGTCCACCTCCATTTCCATGCTGAGAAGGTGTGATCAGCACGTGGTCCCCGTGATCTGATCCAAATCAAGTTAGTAAGGGAAAGCGCAATCTCATGATCCGGGGCGCGTACACCACACGTCCTTGTATTCAGCAAAATAGGATAGACGAAACCTCTCTGCTGCAGCCTTGACACTCTCGTCCGTCCCAAATCCAGGCAGGGGCCAAAATCCAATGGGCATACATGGAAATGGTCTAACGCATACCAACTCGCCAGCCTCACTAGCTTGACAATTGCGCCCCTCATGAGTAAATGTTTCGATTGCCATTCCCAGCATACGACATTGGATTTCCCCACGATGTACCGGCAGGGCAGAACACATCCCGGCAAAGAGCGAGCAGATGTCCGTGCCTCCTGAAAGAGCAGTCCAGGCGCATAACAAAAACAACATTATAGATCATACCTGTTATGGATGCGAGAAGCACGTTGGGGTGAATGTGTTCATACACGTAGTCGAAGAGCGCATGGCCTAATGGCGAACCAGTCGAGTAAATATGCCTCAAGCAAGTCAGATTGTGATGATCACGAGGCTTGTAGCCCATCCGCTATTGCCGTTCAAGTAGTGATATTCAATATATTCTGTCTTAATAGGACGGTTACTCAAGTACTCACCGATAGCTGATCAAGGTATTTCGCACTCGTTCCGAAAATTGATATTTGCAATTCATCCACAAGATGCCATAGATAAGAGGGATCCCTCAGAGGACTTCCATCGTAGAGCACTAGCGTACATCCGACGCTGAGACCGCTCACTAAGAAATTCCACATCATCCATCCTCTACAATACCGCGAATTAACCCGCAGTCGATTTGGATCTGGGAGTGAAACAAACAACTTACGTCGTGGTATAATAGAAAAAGACGTCTTCAGGGCGGAGGTCTGCACATATTACAAATTCTTTCTTCGCTTGTAACAACATCCCACCGGCCCGATGCACAATTGGTCTGCGAGGCCAGAATCAGTATGATTTACCAGGGGTTGCTAATGATAGCAACACACTTTGGGCGACCTGCGGGGACCAACTGAGTTCATAGTTAGAGTGCGGATATACAGGGCCACAAACCTGTCGTGCCTGAGCTAAAAAGTATCCACAACGGCCAATCAAAGCTTTGACGACACCAATCGATTTCTCCTTCTGAAGTACGACCCAAAGAGCTGGACTTGCCCTTCGAGATGAATGTGCCCCATGAGACCCAGTCGGTGTCCCATGTGTACGTGTTCATTGCCGACTCAATGACGATCACGACTGGGTTGAGCGAACATCGCTCGGAGAGTCCAGAAAGAAGAGATTGCAGCTTTGGCAAATGATGATGAACTTTTCCATTGTACCTGCATGATTTGAACGACAAAAACCTGATTTACCAGGGGAGCAACGTACACGACGGCATCGACAGCAAAAATCACTCGAGGTTGTACTTGCTCAAATCTACAAATTACAAGTGAGCGTGCGACGAGATTTTGATAATTTCGCGCACCGTTCTAATACACCCTGTGTCCCGAAGTCTGCTGCTGCACTGACCCAGATGCAGCCTACGAAAGTTAGCAAAAAGCAATAGGGGCAGAAATGGTCTACCTATGGCAGTGGCAGCGAGACAAGCGATGACATTCTCCTGGCAGAGGGCGTAAAGTCAAGAATGGGCAATGTATCTTTAGCTAGCGGTGACGTACAATACAATTCGAAGAGTACGAAGCCACTCGATCCCCGGGCTTCAGATCGAGCATCAGCAATGCTGAAACCAGGTCAGCAACCATCGCGTAAAGGTCGGCATATGTGACACGCTGATGCGGAGGATTTGGGCACTCGGGGGTAGGCTCAGCTAATCAGCCACGATTACCGTGTAAATCAAGGAATATGGCTGTATCAACATACTTGCTTGTATAAGCGCGAATTTATCTGCCGAACGACATGTCAACATATTTTCAGCCCAATTGATCCTCGCTTCGCTGAACCAGGGTGGGTTTGCAGCTGGGAGAGTATTCTTATCGACGACACTTTGCCCTTTATAGCCGACGATAGCGACGTCATCCCATACAGTGTCCCAGAATGAATCGATGTGGTCAGTAGACCATCGGTAGAGGTCACAGTACGAATCTAGCGCAAGTCCGTATTTTTTGTTGACTTTCCTGAGGAACGCAACGCAACGCGAGGATTCAGCATCGGAAGGCACGAAAAGTGGAGGCGCGCCTGGGGATTCGGTATTCATGCCAGACACTGATAGGAAGACTGTTACAAGATCCGGGAGGGTCCGGTGCACAACATTATGCTCGGCTCGGCGACGTCGTCTTCGGAACCGAAATCTAATAGACCTATATCTTTGTCGGGGAATACAGAAATTATTATTTCAAAAGTAAATTCTTGGAAGGAGGGAAACTGCAGGAACGCAGACTATCATAATATTGTAGGCTAGTAGAACATATTGGACCTATTTTTCATGCAGAAGAAGGAGGTCTGCATACAAATCGTGCGATATCAAGGTTACGTAATAATTAAGTGTTTCGGACAGGTGGTGTCATCCTGAGGAGGCAGTTTAACCCCTATAAGTACCAGATTAAGTTCATACCCGCCAGTTGTCTTTGGCATCCGTCCTAGCACTCTTCGCTCGTTTTTTTCCATCAGCCTGATCCCTGTCCAGAAACCACGACCATGGATAACTTTCTTGCCCCATATAGCACAGAAGCAATGGCGCACTCCAGGCTCAGGTATGCGGTGTTGCCATCGACACAAAAAGTTCACCTTTTGATTTTCACAGCGAGGACTGGTTAGACTGGGACATCAGTCGCCCTTCATTTGACGAGTCCCTTGTCGCCCACTGTGCCTCATACCACGCGTTTGACCGTTATTTATCTGGAGAGGATCTTTTCATACCCCCTCGTTTTCCGAGCGAACTGGAACGAGTCCTGTATGTATTCAATTCACATGATATCGGACACAGCAGCGCTAACACCGACACAGACGTCGATACGCATACGACTCAATTCATAATGCAATCTCAAGATCTCGTCAAACGCTAAAAGTCGGAGGATACAGCAGGGTGCGTGTATTTCCTATCGTTTCGTCGTCCGCGCGCTGAACTGGTCATAAGACTTGTCATCTGGCAGAGCAGTCCATCCGCAATGTTTTAGACACAGAAGGCAATGCAAGGAGATTGCTCGCCTGGCACAAGCCCGGCAAACTCCACTCGCCCATGACTGTGGATCTAACCCATACTGCTTCGGGAATCAAAGTTTAACTCGCGTCACTCATGTAGACGTTTGGCATTCATCCATTCATTCATCGTCCCCATCATTCTGGTGTAAACAATACGCCATGTAGTATCATCCCAGCAACATTCCATTCTTTAGAACGCAAAATTACTGTAGACTTTGGGCTTTTACCTTTGTATTTCGATTGATGATAGATCGCTTTTCGATGCAAGCCCCTGACGGTGGACAAGATGCCGGCGGTCGTGGGTGCTTGTATACGTTGTAGAAATGACCAATTAGTTCGGTGGGACTCAATCACAGGCGAACTTGAACTACGTGATCCACTGAGACATGAATCAACTTCAAGGCTCCACGTGGCATGCTTATTCTCATATCCAAAACGCCGTGTCATTAATATCGTTGAGCCACGCTGAAGGTGCGAGTTTTTGACGATATTATTATATCGCCTCGAGTACCAGTGACTCATGTAGCGGCATCATGGCACTGAACGTATGATATCAAACGAGTAAATCGCTAATTACGCAAGTCAACGTCAACTGTCCAAGGACCAGAAAATCACCACATATATATGCTTTGCGACTTTTAAAGCTCGACGACCCAACGATCCTGGTCCAAAACATGAAAAAACATATTCTGTGGCAAGTACTAGGCCTTTTGTGTGGGCAGGCCTTGGCTGCGCCGCCTCAAATCGTCTTGAATGGGTCTCCGAGTAGACCCGATCGAAAACTTCACGGACGTTTCCTGCACATCACCGATATTCATCCTGACTCATACTATGCAAAGGGGACTTCTCAGTCATCCCAATGCCATCGAAAAGAACGATCAGACGGGCATCAGCGGGCAAGCTATTATGGGACACCCTTCGGGTCAGTCAAAGTTCTTCCTTTGGTTGGATATCCCAACTCGAACATGTTTCTGCAGCACCTGTGACTCGCCTTGGACATTAACGAATCTCACGTTCAAGCATCTAGAGGAGCATTGGAGCTCTGAGATAGACTTTGTTATATGTACGCGCGTTCATCGTTTGAAGCTTCTTTTCCCGCGCGCTGATCTCGAGGTATCGTAGGGACCGGCGATAACGCCAGGTAAAGTCCCGGTAGTCATCCGGAATACCATTTGACGCGAGATCATCCAGACATGACGAAGACCACGAGATACCTCGACCACTTGACGAAGTATTCGCTCTTAATCGTGCCGTTGCAAAGAAGATGGAAGATGTGTTCCTCAAGAAAGGAATACCGGTTGTGCCAAGTTTGGGTGGGTTCTTTGCGCCGTAGCTCCGAGATTGCATATTCATCGATTACTGCTTTCTGTGAATAGGAAATAATGATGTTTGGCGTAAGTGCTGTATCTGAGTTTCTCGTGGCGAATGTCTCACAGTCGCCGTTGGCCTCGGCAGCACACGCGAGTGGTTTCTATCTCAACGATCCCTTTGTTTTTCTAACGTTCACCGCTACAGAATACTTTATCTCCAGGTGAGCGCCACCGGTGTTGTCGGTTTAGACTCTCGCCTAACGTCAGTTAAGGTCCGAATGAAATAACGGATGAATTTGCGTCGTTCGTAATCTTCGATGTCCCGTTTTCGTTCGCTAAGATGTACCGGACAGCATATGGGATGCATTTATTCCGTCAAACTCCAAGGCCTTCTTCCGAAATGGCGCGTATTATGCAGTAGAAGTGATACCCGATGCACTTGCGGCGATTAGTCTGAACACGATGTATTTCTATCATAATAACAAAGGTCAGGTCCCTAGATACCTGACCCGCCTAACATGATCTTTGACATGTAGAATTGACAGCTGTGAGAGGATGTCTAGTCAATGACGCCAGCGACCCCGGTAACTTGCAGTTTGACTGGCTGGAAGAACAGCTTAAAATGTTTCGGGCTCGGCAGATGCAGGTATGACGTATTGCATTTTCTGGACGATAAAATAATACGACGTTGATTTGACAGGTGTGGGTTACTGGTATGTCTTTGTTGTAGACATTATACCTGTCTTGACGCTGGATTTTCAGGACATATTCCCCCGTCTGACTACCACTACTTTCCCGAATGTGTAAGTGCTCCAGTAGGCTACACATGAACGAATGACCGACGCATGGTCTAGTATTATCGGTACACGGAGCTGAGCCTGAGATATCAAGACATTATTTTGGGCAGTTTGTTTGGTGTGAGTAATGTTCAAAAGTATGTCATCGAGCAAAGGGTTGACAGTGCTTGTCTAGCACTTGAACGTCGATCATGTAAGTGGCACCCTTTGTTTAATCGAATCTAATCAAAACTCGGCTATAGTTCTACTTTGTCAAGGCCGCTGATCTCAATGTCAGCCCTGAAGAAGATCGGATGATATCCCATAGTTCCGAGGGTACAATGTTTGAAGCCTTGATGGCCGACTTTAAAGCCCTTGCGAAGAGGTCAAAGCATTTGAATTATGATGACTATGCAGTAGTCAACGTCAGCCCGTCATTGGTGCCTAATCCATATTTGCCCAGCTTCAGAGTTTTCAGCTATAACATCTCGGGACTGGGATCAACGACTGTGGGTGCCGTCGGTGAAGACGAGTATCTCCTGATGACAAAGAAGGAACGAGCCTCCCGATGGAAGCATTTACCGTATCGTCATGGTAATGATGGGAACGATGGCCGCCAATGCACGAGTGCGGAATATCGGGACTCGTGGAGGTGCAAGTTTCGCCCCTGGCGTTCTGACAGCCACGCTCCGTCGCGGCAAAATACTCTATGGACGCCTTTGGGATATGCGCAAGTATGTCATTTTATTTTTTTTGATTTTCATTTGGAGTTAATAAGGAAATTAGTATTACATGCCTCGACTGGAGGAATACGGAAAGAAAGATGAACCCAAGTTTAAGCTGGAATACTTGACGTTCCCGATTTCGAGGGTGGGGGAGGGACATGTACCGCTGAGAAACTTGCCCAAATCACTCCGCGAAGGAGGGGTAACGGAATCCAAGCTTGCGCCGTATGAACTGAATGATCTTACGATACCATCATGGTTAGATCTAGCCTGCGAGTTGGGTCAGCCGCGGGAGAGAAAGCTCCGAAAGCGGTTCAGGAAGTATATGTATATGGGAGGTAAAGATATTTAAAAGGGGTGATGGAGGATTATTATATTTTTTTTATGGCGGTGTGGGAAGTGCGCGGCGGCGGTGTAGAGGAGATTCGGATTAGTTGATCATTCTTAACCCGTTCTAAAACGGCGTTGTTGCCTTGACCACCGACCACATTTCTGTAGTAGTTCCTAGAAGATCTCGTCAGCGTTCCTGCAAACCTACTATTACTGCGTCTTTCGAGGAGGCAAAACCTATCTTTTTTGCTTGCTTGCTTGCTCTCCCTCTCTATCATTCATATTGGCCTAGAGTCCTTTTGAGTCTGCTCTTTCGTTTTGCACCACAGCAGCTACTCACTCACCACTAAAAATCTTTTCTTTCTCGCCTTACAATCTGCCAGTCAGCGGCGCCTTCTCTCTCACAAAATCCAATCTCTTGTCGTTCATTCAAAATCGACGGCTGGACCGACAATATTTGCCTTGATCACTACATCGGCATTCACTTTCATTTATTCCCTTTCATCTCATATATATCTATATGGCTGCCGTCAACTTGCAGACTATGTCTTCAAGTATCCCCTTCGACTTCCTACCCCTCAACCACCCACATTCAAGATCAAACTCTGTCTCTTCATCCTCTACTCATTCACCTAATTCTCGTCCTCATTCTTCTCAAGGCGGTATGTCAAGAATGTCATCAGGTTTACCTACCTCCATGGACGATCATTACCGACTCTCTTATATGACCACCGATCAGTCCCGCCACACCTCCTTCTCACTTCCTCCCTCCGATATGACTCCCCCTGGTCAATCTCCTCCAAACGCTAATATTACTAATCCTGCGCTTAAAGGCCATATCCGTCAAACTCATCTCAGAGCCCGTGCTGCTGCTTCTCCGTACCCCCGTGATACAGAAAGCGTTCACTCTTCTTCGAGTGAAACAGACGACATTTCCATGTACCTTGGAAATCCCTCAGACTACCCTAGCATGTATGGGCATGGTTCTACCTTGCCCTCTAATCAAGAAACTATCCACACAGCCGGCGCTTTTGGCAGGATGTCTTTGGGTCCGGATCATCAACTGGAAAAGCTCGCTGCCAATGTCCGCGTCGCAACAACAACCAGTGCATCTGATAGGGCTAAACAAATCTTTGTTCAAGCTTGGTGAGCTCATGCTGTGCTTTTACTCAAATAACTTCTTCTCATCATTTTCCTGCGCCCAAAGGTTGACAGCAAATTACGCACCTTACCCAGATGGCAATGTACCCCGTCAGGGTCTTTACTTTTCTTACAGACGGGTGTGCGATCAGTACGGGATTCCTCACATCAACACGGCTACACTGGGAAAGGCTATTCGCTTGTGTTTTCCTACTATCAAGACGCGGCGCTTGGGTGTTCGCGGAAATAGCAAATATCATTGTGCGTACACTGCTTCAGTGCCACATCTGATTGTGATCGGAAGAATTCTGATTGACGCCACGTTCGGCCAGATTGCGGCATTCGTCCCGCTACTTCGGCTGAAGCCGAATGGCTTCAGGATTACATCCGAAAATCAAACAATAGTGCTGGCCAGCAGTCCATCAACGCCGCTCGTGCTGCGCAAGAATCTTCCGATAATCCAAATAAAGGCGAAGAGCGGTCCGACGAAGATGATGATGAAGATTCCGAGGGATCCAGTGCATCAAAGAGGAATTCATTGACCCTTTCTGGAGATCTCAAGGCCGCTGGTCTCACTTATGGAGACATCAGTGACAAAACACCTACCGCTAATAGCTTACTCTCTCAGGCACAAGCTGTTGCAAGAAGCAACACTTATCCCAGCCATGCTTCCATTCGTCGACATGTCAGCCAGTCCGACCCAAACCTCGCTGCACAATCTGCCATGTCACTTGGCCCTGGAACTGGTGCATCTTTTGTACCATCACAGCAGCATCTCTCAGTTCGCCATATGCCGCATTTCCCGTCCATTGAAGAGGCGATAGGATCTAACTCTGCGTCTCCACAGAGCATCGCCGCTCGTGAGGTATGGGGATGGTTCCAAGATCATCTCGACGCCGTTCTCGAGAGCGCTCGTGCCTTCAGGTTTGACCAATTCGAGATGCACCTCCGAAGTTTTTGGTCCAATCTGAGTGGGAATCATCGGGAAGTAGTGCATGCTCCCGCTATCGCTGGTCTAATGGCCAAAGCTGACGCAATTCTATATGATGTACGTTTAGCACGTTGCCTCGTCGTGCAAGTTTCATTGACTTTTTCGATAGGAAATACTGGAGTTTTTAAGGTCCCAGATGCTTTCCCCGATTGCTCCCGCTGCTATGACTAGTCTTAGGACGTTGGCAAGCAAAATGGAGAAGATCCTGCTTGTTGCACTGGACGGGTATGGCAACACTTTTGTTGAGCCCAAGGTCGAGCTTGGAGCGCGGTTTGGCCATCTCGTTTGTATGTGACTTTTTCGGCACTTTTACTGGGTTGGCTCATATCACTATCACTACAGTGCGCTTCTTGGATATATACCAAGTTACCCAGGCTCTCAATACCGTATTGACGAACCAGAAGCAGCTTTCTGAAATGCGCCGTTCCTGGCAGAAAGTGGACTTCGAATCTGTCCGCAATCAGTCTGCTCTGGTTTGCAATTGTCGTCACGAGGAGCTTGTTCAACTTCTGGAAGTCGATTTTGTAGGCATGATGGACAGCTTGTCAAAGACTCCTGAACCTGTTAGGGAGGTTATGGCTTGGGCTGACAAATGTTGCGAGAGGCTCATGGGACAGCGAATAGGAAATGGTGACGATCGAGGCACCTTGAGTTCCCGAAGTGTCCTGATTCGCTGGGGCTACGTGACCAGTCAGGTGATGAGAGATTTGGTAAGAGCTTCCATGATCACACATGTTCCGTTAACCAACAGCCACTAGACTATCCGCAGCGACCCAGCCTTCGGAGCCTTCCAGATCATGAAGCTGTTCTTGGAGTAAATCGATTTATTACTCTTTTATTGGATGTCGTTGACGTTTCCCCCAGTGATTGGATTGCCGTCAATGTCCTGCGCAGCGTGGCGTTATCCACCAACTCCGTGGCCGCATCCGTTGAGCCAGTGATGCAGCAACAATTCTTCTCATTATCCCCTATGGCCGGCCAGGAAAGTTTCAACACCATGGAAACGCGTTCCGCTCAGCACGTGATGAACCATACCCCGACCACCTCCAGCATGCTCGCAGCTTTGCAGCAGGACCCCTTCCCAACCGGCGCGCTGGACGCATCAACTTCTGGATTTAATGCAGACGCATATGGAGGTTTGAATTATATGGATACTTCAGTTCAGCCGGATGATTCTATTCCTCCCGTCCACCAGTCAGGTCTTTCGTTTTCTGACTATGCGCCCGGGAATACGTTCGACGTTGCGTCATTTGCGGCGCAAGATTTGGGCATGAACACCTCTTCAGGTACTAATGGCGAGCAAGATCGCGAGACTGAGTCCGTCAAGACGGAGGCTGGACCTTAGTCCCCGAAGCTCGATTGAAAATTATACCACTCGGTCAAAGATATTATCTCTAGTGATTGTATATGTTCTGTTCCGTCATTTATTCATACCTTGTCAGTGTCCTATTGTATTGCCACTTTTGCTCAGTCTCTTCCCCTTCTCGTACTTTTATTGTATAGGTCCTCATTCTGTTGAATAATACTGATTCCTTCCCGCTCCGGACATAATATGCAGATATAACGAGGCAGATTTGGTAGTATAAGTGTGAGGTATAAAAGATGTTCCCACTCAGCCTGTACTCAGTTCTCCTCAGCGTCAACCTGAACCTCTTCAAGCTTCTCATCAACATCATCATCAATCCGTGGCGTTGCGCTACCGGAAGGAGTGGGAGCGGATTCTAGTGGTTCGCTACTGCCATTCGGTGGGGATACGGTCACGTTCCGTTTCCCGTTAGACTTGGCGCCATTTGTCAGACGTCGGATCTCCTCCTCGGCTTTAGCTATGTTTTCCGCTGTTTGACGAGCTTGATTAGCTTCAAACCAGGCTTTCTTCGTCTTCAGGTCCTCAATAGCGCGAGGAACATCAGCCTGGTCCGTCGGAGGCGGTATAGATAGTGAAAGCAGAGCAGATAATTGGCCGTAGGGTAGATGAATGGCGCTGGTATCAGCAGGAGAGGTGGCTTTGGGGCTTTTCTTTCCTTTCTTCCCTTTCCCGACAAAATATGATTCTTCATCTTTCTTTTTCAGTGCCACCATGGTCTCCCCAACTGCATCCACCTGTCGAATCTCCAACTGTGGAACACCAGAAAGATCTGATTTGGCTGGTACAGATGAGGATGAGGATACTCCATTGCCAGAGGACTTCCCAGAGAAAAAGTCAATGAGAGTCTGGCAATCTTCAATCTGCGTTTGGAATGCAGGCATTGACGCTTCCTCACGCAGACCGTCGGCGATTGCCAACTTCCTCTGTGCTTCTTCTGCATCGCGTTGAGCACGAGCTTTCTCGAGACGTCGAGCACGGTCCTCGTTCACCTTGGTCCAATACCGGTCATTTGCCTCCCGGAAACGATGTGCTGCCTCACGTTTCTCATTGAAAAGAGCGTTAAGCTGTGCCTGAATACCGTCTCGCTCTTCAAAAAGCTTGGTTCGGCCTGCGTACGCTTCGTCGGATTCCTTTTTGAGTCCGTCTAGTTCAGCTTTGATGGTATCGTAACGCTCGGATATTTCTTTGGACTCCGGGTCATCAAGCAGCTCCTTCAATCGGTCGGCTTCTCTGCGGTCGGCTTCAATCGACTCTTGGTCTGCCTGGAACTTTTCGACAATTCTACGTGTCCGTCGAGCCTGGCTGATCTCCTGAAGGGCGCGCTTTTCATCCACAACTTTCATGCTACCAGACTCCACTTGCGTTTCCAAGTGACTGAGAGACGAGAAGCATTAATAGAAGGCAGTGTGCTGTCGAGGGAGTAGCATACCTAATATGAGCGTCGACATCTGCTGTGGTTTTGAATGGTGTCTTGCCACGAGCAGCCTGCAGGTCCTTGATCTGCATGGCACGTTTCGTCAGTAAATGGTGAATGCGAGTCGATACTAGGCGAACCTTTTTCTGGATACCCTCTTGAATGGTTTTGAGCTGCTCATGTGTCTTGCTTCGGTTTAATTTATTGGATGACTGTTGACCACGTATGCTATCCAATTCAGCCTTAAGAGCTGCGCGTTTATCGTTTCCAGCACCAGATTTGTTCCCCGAAGATATTTTTTCCCGGACGGCAGCCTAAGCGTGGAGTTGTGAGTCTCGCACCGAGTAGGCAGTAGAGTAAAATGCATACAAGTTTAGTCTGCAAACCATCGATTTCCGTTCTGATTCTCTCTTGCTCTGCATCATATGCGGCCTTGTCTGGCTTTCCAGAGCTGGTCACCAGAGGCCCACTAAGGTCGGTTTTAGAAGGAGCGGGTGACGAGGGAACCGTGGAGTCGGGGGTCACTTTGGCACTGCGAATTTTAGTAGCACCGTTGGTGGACTTTTGGGCGGGCATTTTGGTAGGGAGAAAATGTATGAACGGAAAGACCAAGTCAATTGGTTAGAGCAAGCTGCACCTAGTTGTGTGTGTGAACTTAAGCGAACGTTTTTATTTTATGTATGTGGCACCTCATAACTCCGGTCTCCGGATACTCGATGCGCACATGCATCCAAAATAATTAAAGAGGTATAAAATACACGGTTGCCAACACAGGCCGCACAGTTAGAATACAATCTTGTGGTCTAGCTTTGCCACCTCTTTTCGACATTCCTCATACAACTCCCTGTAGTCATCGTCCTTCTCTGTCTCAGCATCCTTCTTTTGGGCTTTGCGTTTCTGGTCAGGGCAAATCATAACGCAACTGGTTGGTCGTTTTGTCGAGCTAGCATGGCCCAGCTCTTCCTTAGACGTCACAAAGACATATGGTATCTGAGCTTCTTCTGAGAGCACTGGGAGGTGGGATATTATGTCTATGGGGTTGATATCTGCCGCCAACACAAGCAATCTAAGATGATATCAATTGATCGATCAAAGACGAAGACAAAAAAAAAGCACATACCCCTTTTCACCTTTGCGAATGCCCTTGACAACTTCCTTTACACCTCTTTTAACTTGTCGTGCTTTGGAGGCTGAGGGATGATGAGCAAATGAACTAGAAAACAAAAATAAGCAGGCGAACCTTTCTTGATCGTTTTGTGCAGCTTTTTCACAAGCTTTTTCTGCGCCAATGGTTGTGCAAGAGGCGACAAATCTTCCAATGGGATGGTGATTTCTTTCTCCTTCTTGGCTTTTTTGGGGGACTAATTCATAATATGTACATGAGGACATTTGGAAACAAGCAAAGCACTCACCTCCGAAACATCTGCCATTTCTACATCTTCTACCTCTGCCTCTGCATCATCAACTTTTGACTTCTTCTCCTTTTTCTCTCGCTTCTCTGATTTGTCTTTAGGCATGTTGCGAGAGCTGACGCCGTAGCAAGGATGCTGGAGATCAGAAAGTTCTTAACCTGACTAATACTAATTCGTCACAAAGTCAAGCTGTCACGCTTCATAATTGAACATTCACTTGAAATCTTCGCAAGATGGTGTCCTTGAGTGAAATGTTTCCTAGGGAATTGCAGTGACAATTACATGTGCGTGCGATACTATTGAATCCACTACCAATCACCGAGTATCGTTTTCATCATTTCCTAATGGCACGTCACCACTGCCCCTAAGTAAGCTAAGCCAAATCCAATTCATCCCTCGTACTTCGGCGTCATACCACCAATTAAGAGCAATGGTAGTTGGGCCAGATTGCTGTACGTAGTGCCACCAACCAACTGGCAGGTACAACGTATCTCCTGCTTCGAGTGTGACATGCAGTGGGTGAGCTTCTGGAGGCAGTGATCCAGGAAGGTCCGGGTTGATCACCGAAGACCAGCGAACTTGAGGAGTATCTGAAGAGGGAATGACACTCAAACAGTTACTATTGTCGGTGTGGCCGTAGACCGCATGAGGATATATCCGTTCTGAGGCAAATTATGACTGTGATTCGCGTAGCATTGACAAGTCGTGTTACCTTGAAGACACCACCCTTCACAAGGTGGTAGGAGTGTGAAGTGTTTGCTTCCATGTATCACAGTATATATGTTCTCGTACGGATCTTGGCACCGCGTGAGATGTGGATGGGTCTGGTGCGTGGCATTCAAAGCCTTAATTATTACTTACCGCTATGTATACTCGTTATGCTTTTACTATTCCCGATCCAAAGGTTTACGGCATCAGGATTTCTGCCTGTGTTTTTTAAGTTAAAAGGAAAGGGACTCCGCTTGATTGAGTTCCTACCTAGTGCTTCGGTGACCCATGGGATGTGACTTGGAACATCTTCCCTAAGGGCACCAAATTCAGATGAATCATCGTTTGGTGACTCAAAGAAACGGCTGGAATATATATTCCCATTTTGTGATTGGAGATAAGAAGCGGAGAGGTCATCACTGTCCTGTTCTGCAATCTGGATTAGTTCGTGTTCGGTTGTTAGGAGGTGAACGTATGCAAGTGCCTGCGTTAAGTTGTTCGAGGAGACAAGTCATAGAAACTTTCTCGACAAAAGGCTCCACGAAAAAGAGCCTGCCTTCTGGGCCAGCTGCAAGAGCATCTGCTTGCCTGTTCTGCCCTCAGTCACAGAAACACTCAAAGAACTGACCACTCGCCCGTTGGGTGTGATTGCCACTGATATAGGCTGGCCTTGCAGCTTAGTCTGCAAGTAATCATCGGTCCATCGTTTCAGGGCCGGAATGTGGAAACCTGAACTTCATATCAAGGGCTGGTCTAAGCTGTCTATTGACATAGGATGACCTTTGATGACAACAGGCCTAGATATGTGGACTAGTTGTGCAAACTCCGCTGCTGTGGGAGGACTTTCGAGGGTTTGAATTGACGAGCCATTCATATCTGAATAAGTTTTAGCCAAAGAATTAACAAGATCGATCTAATAATGAATTTCGTTACCATGATACTCTTGTGATATCCACCTGACAATATCGTGGGTTAGGCTCGGCGGTGCTGCTTGATCCAACTCTAGGGCCGCCATCTGTGAGGCCCTGCTCAAAGTCTGTGCAGTGTGTCCGTACTGTGTTACTCAAAAAGGCAACTTGTAGTATTTGAGGTCACATGCAGCCCCGATCTTCCTGGTCAGACGCGTTTCGAAACTTTCGATCATTTCCGGTGCTCAAACCCAAAGCCTCCACGCTCCTTGCACGCCTTCAACTTCCTATTCTTCGCATGAGATGACTGAGAAACGTCAAAGCAGAGTTACACGAAGCACACGTGCAAAGCAGGTATGTGTGGCATTCATGTGACCCGTTCCTGGCGTTGAAGGCACGCAGGCGTCCGCTCAGAAGACTCTGCATGATTTGTTCCAGAAGGACGAGGGAATGAAACCTTCGGAAGAAGGTTCGAAGGAACTGGACGGAGCTAACGTGTCATCCTCGATACATCCAGTAGATATCATAGTCATTGATGACCAACCAACCCCACCACGTTCCAAGGCACCCCGCAGAATTATACGAGATTCTGTCCCTCAAAATCACAGTGAGTACTATTTGATCTGAGCACCTTTCTTGATCATCTCTGTCTCACAGTTCAACCAGCAAAATTATTTCCTATCTTCGGAATTCCATCCATAACGCCCATGCAGTCAGCTCACTCCAGTTCTACAACTGCGAGCAGAGACACTGGTGAAGATATTCTTATTGAACCATCTGAGGACGAAAGGCCACCGTCATCTCATCGATCATCTTCGTCATCTCCTTCAGAAATGAATTCTCTTCACCAATCTTCACCAATCACCGTTTTGTCATGTATCGAGGACACAAATAACAGGCACAACACAGCCCTGGTACGATGTACTGCGCCAAGAAGTCGGATATACACTACAGGGGATGTCCATCTTCCGGTAAAGCGACATGTGCTTCTAGGCGATATGACGCTGGATGCGCCATATCCAAATAAGGAGACGCAACATGTTCGTGGACCGCAAAGTACCTTCAGTGCGAGTTTGAAACCACCAAAACGCTACAAGCGCAGTCCGCCAAATCTCACAGACGAAGTGTCTTTAGGTTTCCTTTCTTCTTTGTCGCATGGATACCAAAATCCTCCTCTTCAACCGTCAATCTTTCCCCGAATCTCCTCGCAGTCCGAACGTAAAGAATATCTCGGTGTTGACGGGCTCCGTGATGCTGTACATCATCCCGCAATAGCGAGATTTTTTAATGACGAGGATCATGCCAATCGGACTTCTGTGCTACAACAGCAAGAAATATGGACTTCCCGCTTCCGCCCCAGGAAAGCCGACGAAGTGCTAGGGAATGAATCGCGTGCGTTGTATATTCGAGATTGGCTCAAAGCTCTCGAAATTCGACTGCATGTTACGAACTCGCCTCCTACGAAAAGTGGTGCCACTGTCACAGGCAGACGGAAGGTCAAGCCTGACCCACCCGAAAGGGCGCCCAAGCGAACTCGTGTCATTCGAGCTGTGGATAAAAAGAGAGGCAGGAAACGACGGAGGCTGGATTCCGAGGACGAGTTAGATTCTTTTATTGCTTGCAGCGACAACGAAGACGATACGATCCCGGATGAGCCAGTGGAAGGAACCGATGACGATGATTTTAATTTTTGCCGGCGAACGCTTTCCCGCCTTCAGCGAAAGGACAGATCGCGACCATTAGAACAACATCGACCGACCTCAGAGATTGGTGTTGACAACATCCCGACTAATCCAAATTACCAATCCTCCGACGCTAATTTTACCGATACTCTAACGAACACACTCATAATAACTGGGTCTCCAGGGTGTGGGAAGAGCGCAGCAGTTTATGCGTGTGCAGACGAGCTGGGGTGGGAAGTTTTTGAGGTCTATCCTGGGATTGGAAGACGCAGCGGCGCAAACCTCGATAACCTCGTTGGAGACGTGGGTAAAAATCACCTCATTCAACAGACAAGGCCAAAGTACCGGATGGCAGCTGCACAGTGTGATTCAAGAGCAACCGCTGCTCTTTCGACGCTTTCCCCTAAAACAGGAAAAGCTAACCCCAAACCCTCGCCTACAGACTTAGATACCGAGCATCCTAGTGATGTTTACACACACGTCCTCGTGGATGCTGCCAGTGAGTCCCTGCAGGACACGGTGGAACCACCTGTAATCGTTGATGAACTAGTTGGCTCATTAAAAACAAATGGACCGGCGAAACCGTCTGCTACTGCTCGGCAATCACTCATTCTGCTTGAAGAAGTCGATATATTATTCAAGGAAGACGCTGGTTTTTGGCCGGCAGTGATAGACTTAATCAAGGAGTGCCGCCGGCCCGTGATCATGACATGTAACGGTACTGTACTCAAATCATGTTGACTTTTCTAGAACTCAATCTTGCCTTGACAGACATTACACTTGTCCCCGTCGCGGATCTCCCTCTCCAATCCGTTCTGACGTTCCAGCCTTGCCCTTCTGAACCCGCTGTCACGTTTTTGCAATGCCTGTGCGTAACACAGGGATACGCTATCCCAAGATATAAGTTAATCCAGCTTTACGAAACCACGCACATCGTGCAGAGTATGGATCTTCCAGACGCGCCGCTCAACCCCAGAACCGAACCACTACCACCACCGGATCTCAGGCGATCTATTACCCAGCTGCAATTGATTTGTACTGACGCCACCCACGAAGCTAATGTCCCTCAAGAAGCACAGGGGGCCGCTGAAAACTTTCCGTCACTCCCTATGACAATTTCCGCCCAAAGCGGTGCTGATGTTTCTGAGACATCGACAGAGGAGCTGTGGCGATGGGCTTCCACTTACACGGATTGTGTTTCGTATACTGACAGCTACCTCTGCAGGGGACCATTGGATGGACGTGAGGTGAGGGCAACAAATCACATTTTTCCCGCCACTTTCCTGACAGTTCACTACTCGAGGCCCTGTCATACAACCTATCTGAATCTTTGCTTGACGATGAATTGGGTCACGCCATACTAATCCGGCCGTCCCACGTCTCTGACACGAGAGATGGACTTGTCTTCTATCACAATGATGAGCTCATTGTGCAGGATGCCATCCACCTTTCACGTGGTAAACACGAGGTTTTGGGTGCTATTCCGATCACAACGTCGATCAACCCCGCGGCTAGTGGTTCTAATACTGACATGGAAACCAGGCTCTTCCGAGCTCGCGTGGAGCATCAAGCACAGATGCTAGCCGCATTGCAGGATATCGTTCAACCACCCGCACCTCTCATGCCCCAGAGCAGCGTGTACCTTGATTACATACCGTGGGTGAGATTTATGGTTGGTGTGGATGATATTCTTGAGCGATTAGCGTGGGATGAGATGGAGAAGGTGAAGTCTGGGAGATTAACGAGGAATAGTATGAAGGCGAGACATATACGGACTATCGATTTAAGAGAGGATCAACATCGGGCGCTGGTTGCTACTAGAATCCAGGGGTTCGAGGAGGGATGATGGATAGTTTACGAGAGCTGCTGTGTTGTAGCCTGCGATCTGAATTCTCGTGTGATGGTATACCCAGGCATTTTACCGGTGTTGTAAACTTTCCCTCCTTGCCAACTGAGTGAGCAGAGAAAGGTTTCATGAAAGCTGGAATAGGTATAAACTCGTTAATTTAGCCTTTTTGGAGGTGTGCGTTGCCACGTGCTCGTAACCCACGTTGCTGTACGCCGTATCTGGTAACTCAGTTTTAGTTCTATAACGTCGACATTCACAAAGTCATTCACATCGACCATCCTTGGGGCCGTCTCTTAACTACTCTTCAACATCCTATTTACACAGGCATAATGCCTGCATCTACTACAACGATCAAGCATGTCAATCTCTATTCTTCACCGAAGGACACTAGCGACGGCACCCCTGCACTGAAAGATGTATCCAGACATTCCCCAGTCATTTCTCTTCCCCCTCTCGATTATTTACAACAGCATCGCAGGGGCTCTATCACAGATCCATCTCTACATGCTGCCTCGGTAAACTCGTCTGCAGGTCCGCGTCATATAGATGGTATTGATTTTGCTTCCCGTGCTATCATCCAACTCCGTCGCTAATGCCCCGGCATCCTCTCAGGACCACGTCCGGCTGCTAACTACACTTTCGGTGATGGGGGAGGCTCAACGCACAATTCTGAGTCTTCAAGTAAACAAATGCGCAAGATATTGCGCTCCCCATCTGCAGAATGGGAGCCTGCAAAGGGTATTGCACCTCTACAGACATCACTTCCTCCAAACGGGGGAACTAGTGAGTTTGAAGTATCATTTGTTGTACGCATCTTGTGAACATAGAGGTGGTAACGTTGTCAGAAACCACCGATCACATGAACGTGGACAGCAGTAATGAGAAACAATCGCCCAGAGTTAATACACGACAAGCAGACGACAGTGATCACAGTTCACGAAGGCAATCGATTGCTGTAAGTCATCGATGTCACATTCGAAAACCAGATTTTGACAGATTTATAGAATTCTTCGGATTCCCAAATGCCACACGGAACGAAACGAAAGACATCTACTTACAGGGAAGCCGATGGGAGCGATGACACAGATTCGCAACTGGTAGGACCTGGGGTACCTAGTCCCATGACCATCGATTCAGAAGGACGCGCACAAAAACGGCGAGGGTCGACCATTGAAATGAGCAGGATAGCCCAGCTAAGCATATACGACCAGAGGCGACATTCAGTGCATTCTGGAACGATAGCGTCAAGGGCGAGCACAGGAATCTCGGGAGGAAATGGGCACTGGTGGTTGAATGAGAGACGGGATTCCTTACCACCGTCGTTCCCAAACGGGATCACTAGTGGCTACTCCTCGGCATTATCCGGCGATCAGCCACATGGTCGACCTGCTGCACCCTCGACGCCAGGCAGCATGGCGACTTTCGCGTGGTCTGCAGCACAACACCCGGACGGCTTGCAAGATCCTAATATACAGCACCACCCCCGTTCTTTTGAAACACAACCTATGCAGATGACCATGATGCCCCCGATGACATTCCCGCCAGACAGGCGGATGTCTGTGCCAGAAAGCTCGACTTCTACAATAGGCCCGACGAGAAATATCCGTTCGCGGTCCCGACCTCCATCGCGTCAATTACGCGAAAACAGCCAGACTGTCACCTCTACTGTAGGGCCTGCGCCACCTGCGGAGGAGCCTTCTTCGGCTCCTTCTCCGTCATCTAGCCTGAAACCGCCGAAGGAGCCGGGATCTACGCCTTACTCTCGTTCACCCGAGCTGCGAGTTTCGCATAAGCTTGCCGAGCGAAAGCGACGGAAAGAAATGAAAGACCTATTTGATGAGCTGCGGGACCAGCTACCCGCAGATCGGGGCATGAAGGCAAGTAAATGGGAAATACTTAGCAAAGGTATGCAGGCCAGGTTTCTACACGCGCGGCAATCCTTGACATAACATATGCAGCTATCGACTTTGTTACCAATTTGAAACAAAGTCATCAAGACATGGTTCGTGAGATCGAGTTGCTGAGACACGAGCTGGAAAGCATGAGACAAGGCATACCATCTTTTGGTCCAGGAGCACCACCTCACGCTATGGTGTATGGACAGGGCGCACCAGTTCCAGGACCATATCCACCACCTCCAGGAGCGATCTCTCATCCTCCACCACACACGCATCAACCGCCCCATCCGCCCCAGCCACGACCACCATCGTCGGAGAATCCATATCCAGCATCCACCAGCCTTCCACCAGCTCCAACAGGAGTACCACCAGCGCCAACTACCAATGGTGTTGCGAGCATACCAACGAACAAGTCGGAGGTACAGCCGATGTAGTTGATGGACCTACTCTGGCCTCTGCTGGCCTCTTCCCCTCTGCTGAATCCTACGATTTTTTTAAGTTACTAGCCTGTGATTAGCATGGTTGTTCTCATTTTTTATGGACAAATTTTCACGATCACATGAAGTGTATATAGTGTTGTCCTTAGGTTTTCCTCTCGTTGCAATTGTAATGATGACTATCAAGCATCTTCATTCTGGATCAGGTATAGGAGAAAGACATGTTAAGGTTGCATGGACCGTGCCTTATGTCAGCATGCAGGCCTTGTTCTCCAACACTGGCCATTAATATTGCTGCTCCCTTGTGAAAACAAAACCGTATACATGCTCTCTGGTGATTCTGTCCTTTCCGCTCCTTAACTCGTCGCTGTCCTAGCCGTCTGTTGCGCTGATTACCTGATACCATTATCAAAACTCTTCTTCACTCCGGATTCAAGCTATCTTTTCAATGCCCCTCAAATCGGCTGAATCTCTTCTATTTCACAAGAAGAAGGCAATAAAGAAGGAGCCCTCTACGCCATCAGCGACTTCACAATGTTCTCAACCATCTCAGTCACAGCAATCCCCCCGCAAATCCGTTACTCCCCGCGTACAGCCTCCACTACCTGCCGGTGACGCAGATGACAGTTCTAAGCTCCCTGATGGCGAGTTTTCCGAATTCAAACTTATGTCCTCTGCTCTCAATGGATGGAAGTACGATGTTATGAAGTTTGATTCGAGAAAGACGGTAGACATATCAACTTGGGAGGAGCCAATAAAGTTGAACAGGAAGGAGTTGAGAAGGGAAGAAGTCGCTCCAACTCAAGTGCCTGCAGCACATATGCTGGGGCCTGACGGGAAGCCTGTTGTTGGTGCAGATGGAAACATCGTTATGGTTGACGCAGACGGTCGCCCGATAGCGAAGGACGGTGGTGAGGCTCAGTCGAAGGACAAGGACAAAGGGAAAGCTGGCGGGCGGAAGAAATTTCAGAAGAAAACACGGCAAGTGTTCTTGGTGCCTGAGGCAACTCGTCAGCTGCGACGCGAGGAGCGTTACCCTTGGGTGATGGAGGACGCAAAGCAGAATGAGATGTGGGTAGGGAAACTGGAGGAGGTGGCGAGGGCGGAGACACACGCTCTCTTCATGCCAGCTGCACAAGAATTCTTTAAATTTGTACCTGCCCATCGCTGGTACAAGTTCCAGAAGAAGCCTAAACATCATGTTCCTGGGTTAGAGGAGGCGGAGGCTCTGGTATCTTGTTTACCGCATATGCACCGCTGTGATCTGACGTTTCCTCTCAGATGGCCAAGATTCAGAAGAATAAGGACCCGGAACGTTGGCTGCTACACCGGAGAAAAGGGCAAGCACCCTCGTCAGCAACGTCAGAAATGTTCAAAGCCGAGGCAGAAAACCGTGTTGTATCTGGCAGCTCGTCTCTGGTCTATTCGTCTGGACAGAGTCGAGCAATGGGTGGACGAGCGCTACGGACAACGAATCGCGGGGCTCAAGGTGGTGGCGATGACGACGAGGAAGGTGGTCCTAGAAGAAAGAAGGAGGAGAATGATATGGAAGGAGATTTGGATGAGCAGCTTTTTGATGATGAGTTTGCGGATGACGATGAGGCAGGTCCTGCCGATATGGACGAAGAGGAGGCTAAAGAGCTAGAGGTATGTTAGCCCTTTGTCCTTCTCATTGTAGTGCTAACATCCGCACAATAGGAACGCCTCAAAAGGGAGTATAAGAGTGCCAACAAGACTCGGGAAGGCTACGTTGACGAGTCGGAGTCTGAAGACGGGGAGAGTCAACTGACGAAAGACGGTAAATCTCTGAAGAAGCTCATGCGCAAGCTGGAGAAGAACGCAGCATACGATAGCGATGAAGAACGTAATCCCTATGCTAGCTCAGTGCGTCCCTTTCCTTACTCCCCTTCATGTATGCGTGCTAATACTAAGCAGAATGACGAGGAGGAAGAAGAAGAAGAACCAATTCCTCCTCAAGAACCACCTCAAGAGACTAAATCTCGATCAGCTTCTCAACAACCGACCCCGAAACCATCGCAGCCGCCTACCAGCACTGCTCAAAACGGTTCTGCTGTTGGTTCTCGCGCTACTTCACCGGCGCCTGCGAGTATGGGTGGTCATTCTATTGTTGCAAAACGCGCCACAAGTCCCAAAGCACCGAAACTTAAGACAGCTTCTACCAACAACGGTCGCGTAACTAGTGGACAGGGTACTGGAAGTAGGGCAACCAGCCCTGTCACTGGTAGCAGAGCAACTAGTCCTTCACCTCTAGCTAAGGGTCCAGGCAGCCCGACGCCAAATGGACAGCCAACGTCGAACAAACGGAAGGCTACTGATGACATTGGCGGTAATGCGCCATCGGCGAGCGCTGCAGTGAATGGTGCACCGAAGCCGAAGAAACGGAAACCGCTGCCCACTGGCCCACCTCCGGAAGGCGAATTGGAGGAGAAGATGCTCATCAAATGGTTACAGAATACGCCCAACGCGACGACGCGGGATTGTATCCAGCATTTCACGCCTTACTTGACTACGGACGCGAAGAAGGCAAGGTTTACAGCGATGGTGAAAGAGGTCGCGCAGTTGAGAGGGGGCATCCTGATCTTGAGGAATAGCGAGGCTTCTGCAGCTGCCTCGCCGACATCTTAACTCACTGTGATTTGAGGGATTGTACTTTAGATTTCTGTGAACGACGACGTCATGCTCTGGACTGATCTAGGTCGTATGAGGTTTTATACAACTGGTTTATTGGGATACAACTGCATCGCATGCATTTATATTTGAGGTCGGTCGACATCTTCCAGTGTACATGAGGCATTCTCACGGTCCTTCATAGGCACTTCGGAAGTTACGTTCGTGGGGGACCAATCATGTTGCAGCATTAATTACGGGTGTTGAGAAGAGACTCATTTGCATCTCCCACAGACATATGAGATGAGTTGGTTCGTTTCTACTGGTCAATGATGCTACCTTGCTCGCACATTTTCCCCAGCTTCTTGAGATCTCACTGCAAATGCACCACCGTCCATCACAACCACATGCCAAAAAAGGAAGTTGGTATTCGTGTTGGCCCTTGGGTGGCTGGCTTGCCAGCAGAATTCCTTTACTCGCTGCATAAAATGGGCAGCTTGGTTTGTGTTTTTTTTATTCTCTCTTTCTTCTTCCTTCCATCACCTCGCCATTCTCTTAAGCCTCATACTAAACAAGTCCTCTCTTTTTGTTTGTCTCCTACACATCGCCATGTCACGTCTCTCTGCTATCCTCCTCCTCGCCACCACTGCCGTTTACGCGTCCGTCGCCCCCGCTCACGAATCTCATACCGAGAAACCCCCTAGGAACAAGTGGTATCAAGAAGACGATCATCCAGTACACGCCCTCTTCAAGCGTGGACCAGTCGGCGATGGTATTATTTATCCCGCGGTAGGAACGCCCGGTAAGCCTTTGTATGTGATGTTGATTATTCCCGCTTACTCAACACGCGTGTTCAGAATGGTCCGCCGGCTTCCCCCCAACCACTGCGGATACTACGATGCTCCCAAAGACTTGGGTGGATGCCCTTAACGCAGCCGCCTTGGCGGGCAAGATTCCCGATATCCCCCAGTCTACGGCTACCAACGGATTGGATCCAGTATACCCCACTGGATATGACCCATCAAGCCCAACTGTTTGCTCCTCAACTGCCAAGTGCGTCACGCCAGGTGACGTGTGGGATGCTCCACCGGGTGTCGTCGCCCTTAGTTTTGACGATGGTCCGCTACCCGTAAGTACCTAATTATGGTATGCGTAACTCAGACAATAAGTAATCATTCGCACATCATTCAGGCATCAGATCAGCTGTATCAATTCCTCGCTAGTAAATCGGAACATGTGACACACTTCTTCATCGGCACCAACATTCTCCTGTATCCCGAGCAGTTCAAAACCGCCTTCGAGACGAACCAGGATGATATCGCCGTTCACACCTGGACTCACCCATACATGACCACCAATTCGAATCTCCAGGTTCTCGCTGAACTCGGATGGTCGATGGAGCTCATCCACAACTCGACAGGCGGGCGTATCCCTAAGTACTGGAGGCCGCCTTACGGTGACTGCGATATGCGTGTCAGGGCTATTGCAAAGGAGGTGTTTGGTCTCACGACCGTCATCTGGAATCAAGAGTGCGTGATTTTACTGAAAATGAGTTCATGTTTGCCGATACCAACCTCAATCCAGTACAGATGACTGGACCTTGAGCGAGCCTGTCCCATTGACCACGCCAGAGAAAATCCAACAGCAGATGACACAGTGGTTGACCGGTATGTTGTCGTCGTCGTCGTCTGCGGTGTCTGATGCTTATCGTGCTATGTAGGTCCAAAGACCCCCGGACTTGTCATATTGGAACACGAGTTGTCTGATCTATCCGTCAAGTCATTTATGGATGCATACCCGATGATGGTTTCAAACGGCTGGAAAAGGTTATCCCTTGTTCAGATGGATGCTGGTTCAGCCTACCAAAACGCCTGGAACTCAACATCCAAAGTCAACCCAGCAAATGTAGGCGACTTGGCTGTCAAGCCCCCGGCCCTCCCCAGTGCAAAACCGACGGCAAGCCTTGCCAAATTGTAAACTTGTTTTCCTGCAGTGTCGACGCAACTGATTATAATATGACAGGCCGGCTTCACCCTTGCCGTCGTCCGCAAAACCTGCATCTTCCAACAAGCCTCTTGGCAACCAGAAGAGCGGGGCGACTCACTTCAGCGCCGCGTCCCTTGCACTTTCTGGTATCACCGCAGCTATTGTCGCAGCTGCACTTGGAATTATCATGTCATAAGGGTACCGGATTTTTGTAAGAGACATTCATGCACTTCGCGCACATTTCTATCCTACTTGGACAATCGTACACATTTGGGCTACTTTATAATCTCATTATTAGCGAATATATTCACGCAATCACACAATCATTATGGGATCTTTTTTTCCACCAAGCGTGTTGCTGCCTGACCGTGTCTTTCTTGTACCAATGCAGCCTTCAAGTACGCGGTCTTATAAGTAGTTCATCTTGGCAAGAATAGCATTACAGTACGTTACTTCCTCGACGCGCAGTCCTCGACATTGTTTGATCTAGTCGTTCGAGACTTTGATCAAGACACATGATGTAGTACAACAACGTAAAAATAATATGCCACATGAGGTATAATAGCGAGACAAAAAATCTGCTAAATTACATGTACGGAAATGGGTGATCGTGAAGGTCGTTCAACAATTCGTGAAAGAATGAGGAACATAAAAAAACCCCATGAACAAGCGAACGCAGAGAGAGGCTGCATGGAAAAGGGGTCGGTTCAATACGCGCGAGCGCGGGCGTGACGTGCTCGATCCAAGGGCTATATGCAATGGAGACAGTAAGACTCCATCAAAACGCAGTCCGTATTACAATCCTGAGACTCAGTTACGACAAAATGCTGGGCCACTTGATTCGCAGGCCCTCCAGCCAGCGCATGTAGAGCAATTCAGAGATAGGTGACTTGCGGACGGGCGATTCAGAACTATCGGCTTTGAGGGAGTTTAATGATGAGGCGCTCGGGTCTATGGGGAGTCCATTCATATCTTCCTGGACTTCAGTGACTACAAGGCCCTTTGCAGTCATCTCGCTCTTCCGGATGACGCGTTTGTGAGGGAATAGTCCCCGAGATGTTTGAACGTATTGTCGGACAGCAGGGTTTCTAGCGCATTTTGAAAATAAATGAATAGAATCTCAGTTCACTGGTGGATACGCACTCGTTGATGCCGGAGAGCATGTCGAGCATGATGCTGTAAGATAGGGCAGGATTCGCCTCTCTCAATTCGGCAAAACCACGAGAGATCATACTGAGTGACTCGATTTCTCGAGCATCCATGTCATCTCGGGTGGCCTGTTGTGTTTTGTTATTCTTCTGTGGTGCTACACTTGGGAATAACTTACGTTTTGGAGAACGGGAAGGACGACATCATCAATTATGACCCTACCCGCCCGCTCAGAATCGGATACCCTCCGCTTGAATGACGAAGAAGGCCGGTCTTTGGATGGAGTAGTGGGGGATGATGGCAAAGTTTCTCTGCTCCTAGTGCCGACGTACTCTGCAGATAGTCTCAGAGAACCGGCTGCGTCGACCATTTTGACAGGCCTGATGGTGTCTACGCCGGAACCTAGATCTGCTTCCCGCATGATAGTACCGGCACCAGTCATCTTGTGTCTTGCAGCGTACGATGACCTCATTGCCGAGCGGATGGAGCCAGTGTACGCTGAAGGTGCGCCCAAAGGTGTTTCGTCATCTGCAGGGTGAGTAAATTGAGATGGTGGTGTTCTTGGTTCGGCACCATCTACAGAGTCATTTTCTGAAATTTCTGCAGCAGCGAGGAGTGATGAAATGTCTGGTTCATCAAGAGGAGCCTTGATGGCAACAGTGGAGTGCGCTGCACCAGTGTTTATTCCGATCCCCCCAGAACCAAACGGAGCGCTTCCATTGACAGCTGCCCCTGTTTCAAACGAGCCTTCGTCGTCCTCATATATAGAGGGTTCTTCATCACCCATGTCTTCATCGTCCATTTCAGGCATCAAATCCTTGGCAACACTACTAAAGGTACCCATGATGGAAGTCGACTTGACGGTGTCGAAGTTCCAGTCGCTTCGAATTGTGTCGTTGCTCTCCCACACTGCCGTGCCACGAACAGTCGGCTGGTATGCTGTAGATAGACCTTTCTGTGGTAACTTGGCATGAAACTCCTGGTACCTCTCGATCAACTCTATGAGATACGATGTCTTCTTCGCGCTTTTGATAAATCTATGTTGCAGAAGCTCCTTGGCTGTAGGACGCTACAGTGACTGTCAGGGCATTTCAAGCAGAGCAGAAAGAAGTTCGAACTCACATCAGCAGGATCTTTTGTCAAACAGAGTGACACAAATTCCTTAAATGCAGCAGAAAATGAACCTTCAAGGACTGGTGGTTTCGCCTTTGGAATAAGGAAGAGGACCCGCATGGGATGGTACTCGGCCAGTGGCGGCTCCCCTTTCGCCATTTCTATAGCTGTGATGCCTAAACTCCACATATCCGCCTTTGCGTCGTAACCCGCCTGTCGGATGACCTCTGGTGCCATCCAGAATGGAGTACCCACAAATGTATGTCTCAGCGTGCTAGTTAGTTGTGCCGCGACTCCAAAGTCGGCAAGTTTGACCTTTCCGCCAGCAGAAAGTAAGACATTGGCAGCTTTGATGTCACGATGGATGGTGCCTTCCGCGTGCAAATAATCGAGACCTAACAGAAGTTCCCGACAAACAATCGCGATGTGCGCTTCAGAGAATACGCCGCCTTTCAGGAGGTCAAGACATGATCCCCCAGCCAAGTACTCCATAACAATCCAGAGCTTGTAAGCAACGACGAATGACCCGTAATAGCGGGTGACGTATTCCGAATCACATTGAGCGAGACTAGCAATCTCCTGCTGAATTTCCGAGATATCATCATCAGAATCTTCCAAATCTATTTCGAAGATAGGGAGATTAGCTGCAACACAAACCAAGTCCGGCTAGCCACACACCAATCTGCTTGATAGCAACTATCTGCTTTGTTTCGTTATGCATGGCCTTGTATACGACTCCGAAGCTACCTGTTCCCAGCTTCTCGATGAGTGTATACTGGCTAGCTGGGTTGTTGCTTGGAACAGGGTAAGGCTCCCTGGGATACATCTCCCTATCCTGGCTTGCTTGTGACAACATCGAGCACGAGCGAGAGACCGACTGTCCATGGCTAATGTTAGTCACTGAGAGCCTTCTGAGGCGACTACCAGGCGACATGATGAGGACAGAGCGCGGACAGGGCCTAACACATGGGGCAACAGGTTGTTGTGTGACATCAACTCATGCCGAACAAAATTAAGAAGACTTGCCCCACACGTGTTCGGGGGATCCCCGTCCGAGTCTGTGACAGAGTAGATGGGGAAGAAACGGACTGACCAAGAAAAGGATTTTGATGTCGTTGCCCTTGATGTCAGGCTAACTTGAAAGTCCACGAGGAAACCGCAAGGCTCCCTGTTTATTGTGATTCTAAGATTTGGTTGAAATGGACCTTGGAACTCCAACAGCTACTACGACCTGTCGTGAGTATGGAATGGTGGTAGAGATATAGCTTCGTGCTAAGAACAACTGATGGGCGGTTGGAGATCCATCATGGTTAAGAAACACGAGGCCGGAACCAATCACAATATGTCGCAACGTTAACGATAATAGCCAACTGGGGATCCCGGGAATGTTGTAATTGTAGGATACGCTCACGGGAATATGATACAGGTACTGATCATACCATGGTCAAGTCACAACTGGTGCAATTGTCTCAAAGAAGTATGCTGGATCAACTTCCAAGGAAATGAGTCATGGCATAGCATGCATGTCGAGTTGATCAAGGCGTAGGGCATACAAATATGAAAATGCAAAAACAGAAAATCTCCAGCATGATGACGGGCCCTCTCACACCCAGCCAACAACACATTCACGCTTATACCTTGACGGCATATTTACGAATGGGGAAGTGTATGTCTTTCTTCTTTTGCTTGAGCGTCTTCAATGACTCCTCGCGCTAATGCACATATTTAGCATGAGTAAAGCACAGCTTGCATAGCGGGTGTATTGCGCACCTTGGTCAGTCTCCGTCTGATTGCGCGCGTCTTCTTTGGCCGGAGATCAAGAGGGAGGAATTTCTTGTTCTTGTAGAATTCCCGGAGGTTTTGGCGTTGCTTCTGGTTTATCACAGTCAAGACCCGTGCAATCGACTTGCGCACAATGTTGCTAGTTAAGTTAGTCCTTTCGCACTAGACATTTAAGAATTCCAAACGCACATCCTGGTGAGTTTTGAGGCCGATCCACCAAGAATCTTCTGTACGCGCAGCGAAAGAAGCTCGGTCTTGAGCTCGGTAAGTTGCTTGGTCAAGTCGTTCTTCGACCTGTGTATGTCACGCAACAAAACGTTCTGCAATCGGCACAAATGTCTTCCATTAGAATTATGGGCTCACTTAGACTGGAGCTCGTAGGCCTTGACTTTGCTGCTGGGCATTTTGAGGGATGTCTATGAAATGAAACGAAAGAGGGTTAGTACCGAGCCTAACAGATCGACCAAACAGATGTGGAAAGAGCGGGACGAGACCAATATGCCTGGAAATAGTCCAGGATGTTTCAAGAACATGGTCGGGCACCATAACGGCTAGATATTTACCTTGAGGGGGCTGTCGTACGGTACGTCCGCTGACGGGCTCGATAATTCTGGCGCTGCGCAATGTGGTACTATACAGTTTATGAGCCACGTTTCCCACGCCTAAAAAGGTATTCCCCTGTGTCCGGTCATGTTTTTGCGGAATTTAACATACGCGCTACATATTAATGCTACTGCTTGCTTATTTTCACTAATTCATCAAATCTTACAACCCCTCCAAAGATATCCAATGAACTAGAGTAATTGGAATGAGCTATCTATTAAAAACATCAAGGGATTGTACTTACCTGCCATATGTCAAGTCCACTTGTCCTGCCGAAAGTCTATTCACCGTTTCTAAGTCGGAAATGCCTGAGGAATACGTTGAGTCAGGATATAATAGACCTAGGAACTTAACCGCCTACTTCGGGCCCCTCCAGCATATGTTGTAGGAATCGTTACCCATTCGCCAAGTTCTTATGAAATCAGAAAAGTCAGTAGCGAAATGACAATATTGAAGGATGCGCAAACTTTTTACGAGTTCCTCGTCAATACCTTGACATAATCCTTCCACATCAGCTGCATGGATAAGAAATTCGCTGCGACATGAAAGGTCATCGCGACGGAGAGAGTGCCCATGAGCCTCACTTGCAATATTGTGCCAGCATGTCGAGATTCTCTGGACACAAAATTCAGTACCTATTGCGCAAAAGATGATAAATAGATCTTTGCTCTTTACTTACCTTTGTTCACCTCCATTGTAGTGATATCCTGCCATTTATTCATAGCAACAAACCACTTGTCTCCTCGTCGGCGACAGCTGAAATTGTCATGAAATCCTTCTGTTCACCGAGTAAAGTGTATGACCTACCTAACGTCTACAACGAGCTTATCCTTTCCGACAAGAGACGAGATTGTCAGCAAACGCTCCAAATTGAAGTTGCCACCGGGAAAGAGGTAGGATGTGACGATGATCTAGGTAAGAAGTTAATTGGCGCCTTGCGCACTCAGACTGTCTAACCTTGCTCGCGCCCGCATCGAGCCATTCTTTTGCGTTATCAGCGGTGATACCCCCACCAATCTGTAGATGATCTAGAACGTCGGTCAAAAGCATCGTCTGAAAACAATATGATGGACACGAACCCCGCCATTCTGCCAATGCTCTCCTGGCTGCCTCGTCATTCCGAGGCCCCAATTTTATGACATGTCCTCCTTCCAGACCATTGTCACGATACTTTCCCGCGAAATACTCCGGAGGTTGCCTGCAGGGACATGTATCAATCAGAGAAAGGGCCAGAGTATATATACTCACGTTGCGACAAAATTCGTCTTCAGTCCTTCGTCATCGCGATCTGAAAGAGTACCCCCGACAATTTGCTTCACTTGTCCTTCATGTAGGTCAATGCAAGGGCGGAACTTGCTACGACGTTGCTCAGGAGCCATTCTCGGAATCGTCCGAGAAGTTGCAACTGCTTCGAAAAACGCTTCTGAGATTCAATCCGTCCAAGAGTATATATTGTATCTTCAATTGATGGTATTATACATGTACACAAGAGTTTTCAAAGCAATTTCAAAGCGTGATGACGGATCTTGTGCTTTAGTACTCGAAAGAGGCCTCCATGATTCTCGTCAGATGCTCTCTCCCATCCTCGCCAGCCACATTTCCAATATTCGGAGCTAAATCCAGAACACGACGTTGCGGAAGCGTGCCTTCGACTAGCATAGAAATGTCGCTCTTGTTATATCCCACGGCCTTCAGTCCACGAGGAACACCAAGTCCATCGAGGAAGGATGCAATAGACTCGAACAGATATGCGCCAACCTCGGAGTCAGGGATGCTTGTTATCGAAGGGTCGGTAACGGTCACACCGTTGAAAACAGCAAGTGCTTCACGATGACGGTCGGGAGAAGATGGAGCAGTGAATTGGAAGACTGCGGGTCCAGTCAAGGCGACACTACGGATTCATATTCAATCTCCGTTTTTTGAAGTGTCAGTATTTGAATTACCTGACGCCGTGGGGAATAATAGGATGGTCAACCACGTATCCAGGGTGCTTATACTTTGGGCCTTTCTTGTTCAAGCCGGATATCTATAGGGAAGCTACTCAGTCCTGATTCTTGATACCATCTGCTGAACGCACTGGGTAGCTCATTCCGTGGCACAGGTGTACACCAGCATTTCCAAAACCAATACCAGCAAAGGAAGCCGCGAGGCTAATTCTAAATCAAAACAATAATGTGGGGAACGGGTAGGACACATACAGCATTTGGCTTCTTGCCTCGTGGTCACCGTGATCATTGGCAATACGAGGCAAGTACTTTACAGTTGTACGAAGAGCCCATAGCGAGAAAATATCTGCGACGGGATTGCTTCCTTGGTAGGCGGGTCGCAAAATTGGATTTGCAGGGCGTGGCGTCCGTTCCGTGTAACTAAAGGGTCGCTCTGTTGTCCGCCTATGAAAAAGGTCAAGTGCGAGCTCACGGAATAGCAGTGTAGCTCTCTAAACTATGGAACAACACATCCAACCCTGCGCTGATGTGCACGGCCGTTGGGCAGCTTTCCGTGTTAGCCGTGTCCACGACGCCCAAGACAGGCTTAAGTGCACGATTTGCGATGCCAGTTTTGAAAGCACGCGAAGTAACGTCAAAAATAGCTGCACCGGTGGTCTCAGATCCAGTCCCAGCAGTGGTAGGAACTGCAAATTCATGAGTAAGGTTGACACGATATTAGTGCAAACATTTCAACCTGCAATGAGAGGCCGCAAGGTTTGGGAGATCGGAAGACCTTTGCCTACGGGAGCGTTGACAAAGTCCATGAGATCAGCATCTTTGTAAACAGTGAACCTAAAAGGTGTGAGAAAAACATAACACGAACGAAGTATAAGCCTTACAAGTTCGCTGCTTTGGCGGTATCGATGACACTCCCACCGCCGACACTATAACCATGGTTAGTCGTGGTTACACATGGTCCACAGTAACTTACGCCAAGAAGTGACTGAAATCGTGTTGCCTTGCCCAAGCGATGGCTTTCCTCCAGCTCTCTTCCGTGGGTTCTGCAAGTACTTGATCATATACCTCAAATGGAAGGTCTTCTTGGGATTCCAAAGACTCGAGGGCCTAAGATCAAAGTCATTATTAGCACTGCGAAATTGTGACGAGAAAGAATGCTTACAACTCGCATTGGTTTCAACTTGGCCACAATGGGGTCCGTAAAGACGCCAACCTATTGATAATAATGATGATCATGGTCCGAAAATGTGGGAAGCTATCTGACCTTGCGGGCTTTCATGTTCTTGAGGTCCATGCCAACCTCGCGAGTGACGCCCTCACCAAATCTCAAATTCGATGCTGCAACCTGCATTGGAACTGTAAGCGATTATAGTGCTTCTTTGACAAGGCGTACCTCGAATGCATACTCCTTTTCAATAGTTTGGACGGGAGTCGCGAACTTCCTGAGTTGGTTGAGGGCAAGGGCACCTTGATGTACATGGTTATGGGTAGCAGATCTGCAACCATGGCATGGACACGCTGAATGCTGGGATGCATTTATGAGACGAAATATTGTACTCCTCGTTGCAGCTGGTGCCATGGTGTGAATTGGAGGGAGACTTGGTGCCGCGTCGGAAGGAACGCGGGTAGTACACAAGTACCACGTGAGAGGTAATAATGTGTCTAAATTAACTATAATGACTTTTTACTTTTGGGTAATTTTTACAAAATTTCGGTTTTGAGATTTCCCTCTTACCATTTCCTTATGGGAATTTATCATTGCAATTTCTCATTGTGATGTTTTTTTTTGTATGCGAGTACTTAACTGTAGCCAAAAATAGATCCCCGTTGCAAAATAATCATTTCATGACATTGCCTCGTTGACATCACATTTTAGATTCGTGCGGCTTGTTCACGGCTTTTGTTGTTCCTATCATTATAGATTGCCCTTATAGGCTGCGCGCACTCCTTCAACATACTTACACTGGCCCTCGCCGAAGTCATTCCTTCCTCCCTCTGCTATTATGAAGTTACTACAGGCTCTGTCTCTAGCAGTCCTAGCCGGAGTTTCAGTGGCTGTTAAAATACCTTTCATTCAATCAAAGCGCACGATACAGCAACGAAGTGGGGATACAGACGTTTCAATATCGCACCCCCAAGTTTTGTCACGGTCTTCGGTCTCCACGGTAGTTACCCTCAGGCAAGTCATATCTTCACTCTCCAGTTCAATATATATATACCAAATGACCACTGAGATAGTGACGTTCACGATCTCATTTATATGGCAAATGTAAGCACCCTTTGACCGCCTGCTATGCCAATTTATTCACCACGTAATTAGGTTACCCTTGGAGGTGTCGGTAAGTAACGTACCTCATTCACATCGAAGGTAACTCATCAGTCAACCAGATTATCTAGTCCAACTCGACACAGGTAGTTTTTTCTGCTTCCTTTCCTTTTTTATGTCTTACGTCCTCGTCAGGTTCTTCTGACCTATGGGTCCTCAATAATCCAATACCGATCCCTAATACAAACATTACAGTGAGTGGTACACGCTATTTTTGACTTCAGTTTACTTATGTTCACCAGTCCCAAAACTGCAATCTGACTGTGAGTGCATTTGTGCTTGAACAGGGATCTCTGGTCTGACTTCAGCGCATAAGTATGGCATTGGTTGGGCATATGGGGGTATTTCCTATGTCAAGGCCGAGTTTGCAGGGTAAGTAAGCGTTTAAGTGACCCATCATAGACTAATTCAGCCTCAAATAGGATATCCGTTCCTTCTCAAGCTTTTCTTGACGTCTCGTCTGCGCAAAATCCGGCATTATCCTATGGAGCTTCTGGACTCCTTGGCCTAGGTTTTGACTCATTATCGA